AAAAAAGATGTCCTTTTCATTATAGGGGAATAGAATGCAAAAGTAGGAAGTTAGGAGATACCTGGAGTAACAGGCAAGCTTGGCCTTGGAGTACAAAATGGAACAGGTCAAAGGCTAACAGAGTTTTGCCAAGAGAATACACTGGTCATAGCAAATACCCTCTTCAAACAACATAAGAGAAGACTCTACACATGGACATCACCAGATGGTCAATATCGAAATCAGATTGACCATATTCTTTGCAGTCAAAGATGGAGAAGCTGTATGCAGTCAGCAAAAACAAGACTGGGAGCTGACTGTGGCTCAGATCATGAACACCTTATTGCCAAATTTAGACCTAAATTGAAGAAACTAGGGAAAACCACTAGACCATTCATTTGACCTAAATCAAATCCCTTATGATTATACAGTGGGAGTGAGAAATAGATTCAAGGGATTAGATCTGATAGACAGAGTGCCTGAAGATCTATGGACAGAGGTTTGTGACACTGTACAGGAGGCAGTGATCAAGACCATACCCAAGAAAAAGAAATGCAAAAAGGCAAAATGGTTGTCTGGGGAGGACTTACAAATAGCTGAGAAAAGAAGAGAAGCTAAAGGCAAAGGAGAAAAGGAAAGATATACCCATTTGAATGCAGAGTTCCAAAGAATAGCAAGGAGAGATAAGAAAGCCTTCCTCAGAGATCAATGCAAAGAAATAGATGAAAACAACAGAATGGGAAAGACTAGAGATCTCTTTAAGAAAAATAGAGATACCAAGGGAACATTTCGTGCAAAGATGGGCTCAATAAAGGACAGAAATAGTATCGACCTAACAGAAGCATAAGATATTAAGAAGAGGTGGCAAGAATACAGAGAAGAACTATACAAAATAGATCTTCACAACCCATATAACCACAATGGTGTGATCACCCACTTAGAGCAAGACATCCTGGAATGCGAAGTCAAGTGGGCCTTAGGAAGCATCACTATGAACAAAGCTAGTGGAGGTGATGGAATTCCAGTTCATCTATTTCAAATCCTACAAGATGATACTGTGAAAATGCTGCACTCAATATGCCAGCAAATTTGGAAAACTCAGCAGTGGCCACAGGACTGGAAAAGGTCAGTTTTCATTCCAATCCCAAAGAAAGGCAATGCCAAAGAATGTTCAAACTGCACAATTACACTCATCTCACATGCTAGCAAAGTAATGCTCAAAATTCTCCAAGCCAGGCTTCAACAGTATGTGAACTGTGAACTTCCAGATGTTCAAACTGGATTTAGAAAAGGCAGAGGAACCAGAGATCATTGTCATCAAAAAAGCTAGAGTTCCAGAAAAACATCTGCTTCTGCTTTATTGACTATGCCAAAGCCTTTGATTGTGTGGATCACAACAAACTGTGGGAAATTTTGAAGGAGATGGAAATACTAGATCACTTGACCTGCCTCCTGAGAAATCTGTATGCAGGTCAAGAAGCAACAGTTAGAACTGGACATGGAACAACAGACCAGTTCCAAATAGGGAAAGGAGTATGTCAAGGCTGTATATTGTCACCCTGCTTATTTAACTTGTATGCAGAGTGTGTGTTTTAGTCATTCAGTTGTGTCCAACTCTTTGTGACCCCATGGACTATAGCCCCAGGCTCCTCTGTCCATGGAATTTTCCAGACAAGGATACTAGAGTGGGTTGCCATTTCCTTCGCCTGGGGATCTTCTAACGAACGGATAGAACCCAGGTCTCTTGCATTGCAGGCGGATGCTTTACCCACTAAACTACTAGCAGAGTACATCATGAGAAACAGCAGGCTGGATGAAGCACAAGCTGGAATCAAGATTGTCGGGAGAAATATCAATAACCTCAGATTTGCAGATGATACCACCCTCATGCCAGAAAGCAAAGAGCAACTAAAGAGCCTCTTGATGAAAGTGAAAGAGGAGAGTGAAAAAGTTGGCTTAAAACTCAACATTCAAAAAACTAAGATCATGGCATCTGGTCCCATCACTTCATGGCATGTAGATGGGGAAACAATGGAAACAGTGACAGACTTTATTTTCTTGGGCTGCAAAATCACTGCAGATGGTGACTGTAGCCATGAAATTAAAAGATGCTTGCTCCTTGGAAGAAAAGCTCTAACAAACCTAGACAGCATATTAAAAAGCAGAGACATTACTTTGCCAACAAAGGTCCATCTAGGCAAGGCTCTGGTTTTTCCAGTAGTCATATATGGATGTGAGAATTGGACTATAAAGAAAGCTGAGCATCGAAGAATTGATGCTTTTGAACTGTAGTGTTGGAGAAGACTCTTGAGAGTCCCTTGGACTGCAAGGCGATCCAATCAGTCCATCCTAAAGGAAATCAGTCCTGAATATTCATTGGAAGGACTGATGCTGAAGCTGAAACTCCAATATTTTGGCTACCCAGTGTGAAGAACTGACTCTTTGGGAAAGACCCTGATGCTGGGAAAGACTGAAGGCAGAAGGAGAAGCGGACAACAGAGGATGAGATGGTTGGATGGCATCACCAACTTGATGGACATGAGTTTGAGTAAGCTCGGGGAGTTGGTGATGGACAGGGAGGCCTGGTGTGCTGCAGTCCACGGGTTGCAAAGAGTCAGACATAACTGAGCGACTGAACTGAACTGATTCTGATAGCAAAACTAGACAAAGATATCACAAGAAAGAAAACTATAAATCAATATATCTTATTAATAAAGATGCAAAATTCCTCAACAAAATACTAACATACTGAATCCAGCAACATATATAAAAATCATATGTTTTATATGAATTATACACCATGACTAAAGGTTTATCTCAGGAATGCAAGGGGGTTGAAACATGAAAATCAGCTAATCTAAAATATCATCATACAAAATATAACATTATACCAAATGAAAGAAGCTGGACATAAAGGACCAAGTATTCAACAGTAGCTTTTCCCTAAGACTTATTGTATAAGAAAGTTGGGGAAAATGTCTGAGATGGGCTCTAGTGGTGAGGCTAGTGAGATTCTGAGTTGGAAATTCACCAAAGACATCTTCAAAGAAGGAAAAGGCAATCTTCTAATAGAAAAAAGCATAAAAATCGGAGAAATGTCATGCTGTGTCAGGTTATTTCATCCACTTTTAATGTTCTTCCTTTGACAGAATCCTTTGTTTGGGCATATGGGTATCTCCCCTGATATCAACTTCCAAAGATCTGTGGCTTCCTCTCCCATTATCTAAATTCTTGAACTGCTATACCATATTCATGAATTGACACGAACTGCTTCTGTATAAGCATGGCAAAAAATGTTTGATACATTTTAGAGTAATTTCAGTTCTACAAGAGTCTCATAAACTGAGAGCAATGACATAATACAGTTAGTACACTGGTACCTATTTGAAGATTTTTTTTTTTTTCTGTTAGAGGGGAATGTGTTCATGCTAAGTTGCTTCAGTCTTGTCTGATTCTGTGTGACAGTATGGATCCTGTAGCCCACCAGGCTCCTCTGTCCATGGGATGCTCCAGGCAAGAACACTGTAGTGGATTGCCATGTCCTCCTCCAGGGGATCTTCCTAACCCAGGGATTGAACCTGCATCTCTTATATCTCCTACACTGGCAGGAGGGTTCTTTACCACTAGCACCACCTGGGAAGCCTGTTAGAGGAGAATAACAGGTTCTAAAACAGGAATATAGAAGACGACAAAAGATTTTCTCTTTCTCCTTTAGAACTGCATTTTAGAGTTCAAGATTCAAACGCAGTAAAAATTTTGATTAATATTATGCTTCTATTGTGGCCTTTGGGTCAGATAGGCTTCTTATATTAGCCCAACCACCACACATACTACCTTTTTATTTTTGAAAGACCAGGAATTTGGAGAACTCTGTGTCAGGAGAAGACTCTGGTAAGATAAAGGAGAGTATGTGATGATCAAGGATGCATTCCCTTTGTCATCTATAGACACGCAGGCACGCATATTTCTGTTAGCTTTGCAGATATAAGCTCCATAAACACAAGTCATCTTGTCTTACGTCCACCACTCTCATATCTCCAGAATCTAACTTGTCAGAGTTGTCGGGACTCAACGATTCTAACGCTCATCACTTCCATGAAATACGACCTAGCAGTGCCCAGTTCACACTCAAATCTCAGAGGCAATACGGCTTCTATATCCATGTTGGCCAAGCCAATTTATTTTTGGCTTAACTTGAAAGGAAGTAGTCAAAATAAGTTTAAAAATCCAAATAAAATATTTTCAGCAATCATGAAGGGGAGAAGGGAATTAATTGTCATCACACCATTCTGCCCTACTATTATTTTGTGTTCTTCCAAGAGTACCAAGTCATTTATTGCTTTTTTTTTTTACATTAGAATACATAATTTGACAGATTGAAGCTTTTTTTTGTAAATCTACTCTCAGAAACAGGTAAAATTATGCTGAATAAACAAGGATTGGAATTTTCTCCACTCAAGCTTCTGCTTTTTAAAACAGATGACAACTGATGAGCCCAAATCTGAACCAAAATGGCAAAGTAGAAATCTCTACCTGCAGTTCAAGGCCACAGAACATTTAAAAATTATAACATTTTAAAAGTTCCTTTGGAACTAACATCCATATCCCATTAGTACTGTTAAGTAGTATAAGGAATATGCACCATATTACTTTTATAAAATCTGGAAAATCCTGAATTCCAAAACTATGGACTTGGAGTTCAGTTGAGGCAACGGGCCAGGAGATTAGAAGAAAAGCCCTGTGTATTACACTTGTATTTAAACAGGAAAGTTGGGCAAATTATAATCTCTCTGTTTCATTATTTGGAAACAAGGGAGTTGGTCCAGATGAATTCTAAAATCCTTGATTAAATTCTAAGATTCTACCTGATCAACTTATATTTTGAAACATATAAATTGTGTTCAACTTGGATTATTTCGAAATTCTATTAAATTATGGGCATTTAACCTTGCCCAGAATGTGTGACAAGCACACATTATTAGATGTCCCTGCAATTATGCAATTTAATTCAGTGTTAGTACCTGCTGTGCCAAACACAGATGATATGCCTTCCATAATGGTCCTGTGGATACTGGGATGAGACAGGACAAATGCAAATGTCCAAAATGCAACCTTAAAAAGAAAAACATGTGTCAAAAAATATAACCTTCTTTGAAGGTGAACAAAAGAATACACAGTATTAGCCACAAACAGTTAAAATATTTAAGTTAAAAGCATGTTAGTAAAGAGTATCTTTGAAAACAACTAGATGTTATGAACAAAGAGATGTTATATTATCTCTGAGGGGTTAACTTTACAATTTTATTTTGCCACTATAGTTTTACTATATTGTTTATACGGAGTAAACTATCTTCACTACAAATAAAATGGGAAAATCAGGATTTTTAATTTTATTAATATACAATATAAAATATTATACCAGCACATATTAGAATTTTAGAAATAACAAATTACAACACTTAGGCAAGTTAGTCGAAAGCAAAGATATTTTTAAAGATTCAATCTCTTTGAAATACAAATTAGCAAATCATATATTATGCAAATAAAACATAGTAATTTTAAATAAGCCTCAGAAACTATACCTAAAATCTCATAAACTCAATACCAAAAATAGGGTTCTTTCACACCCTATTGAGCAAGGAAGCTTATAAGTTTATAGAGTATTACTGAACACAGTATGCTTGGAAGTTCTCGCTCTAGGCCAAACAAAATTATTTCACATCTTTACTCATCACGGTATTATAAAATACCACAACCAACAAAATACCACCAACCAATAAAATTATACTGCTATACATCAAAGACATACAGATGGCTAACAAGCACATGAACAAGATGCTCAGCATTACTAATTACTAGAGAAATGAAAATCAAAACCACAATGAAACAAACATCCCCTCACACTGGTCGGCATGACTGTCATTGAAAAGTCTACAAATAACAAATGCTGGAGAGGATGTGGAGGAAATGAAACCCTCGTACACTGCTGCTGGGAATGTAAATTGGTGCAGCCACTATGGAAAACAGTATAGAGGTTCCTTATAAAACTAAAACTAGAACTACCACATGAACCAACAATTTCGTTCCTGGGTATATATCCAGAAAATATGAAGATACTAATTCAAAAAAATACATGTACCCCAATGTTGATAGCAGCATCATTTACTATAGCCAAGACATAGAAGCAACCCAATCGCCCATTAACAGATGATTGGATTAAGAAGATGTAGTACATACATGCCATAGAATATTACTCAGCCATAAAAAGAATGAAATACTGCCATTTGCAGCAACACTGATGGACCCAGAGAATATTGTGCTTAGTGAAGTAAGTCAGACAGAGAAAGGCAAATACTGTATGATATCACCTATATGTAGAATCTAAAAAAAAAATACAAACGAATGTACAGGAAAAACAGAAACATACTCATAGATATAGAAGACAAAATTGTGGCTAACACAGGGAGAGAGATGGTGGAAGGACAAATTAGGGGTATGGGATTAACAGATACAAACTACTAAAATAGATAAGCAATAAGGATGTACTGAGCACAGGAAATTATACCCATTATCTTGTAATAACATATAATGAAGTATATGCTGAAAAAATACTGAATCACTCTGCTATACACCTAAAACTATAGTAATATATACTATATATTTACAATATAGTAAATAAACTACTGGAGTGGGTTGCCAAGACCTCCTCCAGGGGATCTTCCCCACCAGGGGTTGAACCCACATCTCCAGCATCTCCTGCACTGCAGGCAGATTTTCATCCACTGAGCGACCTGGGAAGCCCCAAATAAACTACAATTCAATTGAAAAAAAAAACAAAAAATTTTTCCTTTAGTTCAGGTAGATGTTTTTGCTTCTATTTTAGATTACACATTAAAGAAAACATACCAAATCATTAAAAGAAGCTTGGGTTTCCCTTTCATCCTTTTTTTTTGTAAACACATATTGTGAAAGATTTCATCTAGGAAAACCAATCCTGAAAAGACTCAGACAACACTTTGTGTCATTTAAGTTTTTTGTCTGTCGTGAGACAATGCTAAGCATCTTTAAATGATCCCAATGCTCCCCTCTGTGGTCAGAAGAGGAAGAGCAAGCAATTGAAAAGAAGTGCTTGCGCTTGGTCGCTCAGTCATGTCTGACTCTTTGTGACCCCGTGGACTGTAGCCCACCAGGCTCCTCTGTCCATGGGATTCTCCAGGCAAGAATACTGGAGTGGGTTGCCATGCCCTCCTCCAGGGGATCTTCCCAACCCAGGGATCGAACTCAGGTCTCCTGCATTGCAGGCGGACACTGAGCCACCAGGGAAGTGCCTGGACAAAACCAAATTCCATCCTACTCGTTGCTGTCCCCTTCAACAGTAAACTGATACTGTGGCGAGAAACATGGTGCTTTTTACATAAACAAGTGAACGGACAACCAAGGCCTCTACACTCCCAAGACCTACTTTCTGTGGTGTATTCCGGATTAGGAAACACTGACCCAAGATATCAACTAGCTCACTTTTAGAGGAAACATGCTCAGCGAGCTCTCATCGCCTTCTCCCGACATGGGCCCGTTCTACATTATCTCTAAGGGGAAGTACTTAATTACTGGAATTACTGGGTTTAATTAATAGCCACTCCATACTCAATCCATCTTTAAAAAAAATTTATTATATTGAAGTAAATCGATTTATAATGTTGAGTTAGTTTCTGCTGTACAGTAAAGTGATTTAGTTATATATAGTTGTATATATATGTATACATGTGGGTGAGTACATGCTCAGTCGCTTCAGTTTGTCTGGCTCTTTGCGACCCCATGGACTGTAGCCCACCAGGCTCCTCTGCTCATGGGATTCTCCAGGCAAGAATACTGGAGTGGGTTGCCATTTCCTCCTCCAGGGGATCTTCCCAACCCAGGGATCGAACCCGGGTCTCTTGTGTGTCTTGCTTGGCAGGTGGATTCTTTAACACTGGTCAACCTGGGAAGCATGTATATATATGTATATACAACTAAATCACTTTGCCGTACATCAGAAATTAATACAATATTACATATATTTTCACATTTCTTCCATTAAGGTTTATACAGGATATTGAATATAGCTCCCTATGCTATACAGTAGGACTTGTTAATTAAAGACTCAGAGTTCAAGTGGGGGAAAAATATATCTTAGTGATACTGCATAGATTTTCAGTTATACAAAAGAGGGGTTTAAAGTTTTATGTGGTTAATTAGAGTTTTAGAGGTTGACTAAAATTGGCTATTACTTATTTTTAAAGCATTCTCAAGGAATTCAGTTAAACTATAAATGGTTGTACAGTGGTGTTAGTTACTGTGTTTGATGCCTCTTTTCTTAACAGATTTTCTTCTAAAAATCTATATTATATTCTACATAAAATCTTTTAAATAAAAAAAATTACTCTTTTAAAAAGAAAAGAAAGGCACATAGAAGAACAATGGTAAGAAGTTTACATACATTAGAAGTGAAGTCACTCAGTTGTGTCCAACTCTTTTTTTTTTTTTTGTGACCCCATGGACTGTAGCCCAACAGGCTCCTCCATCCATGGGATTTTCCAGGCAAGAGAACTGGAGTGGGTTGCCATTTCCTTCTCCAGAGGATCTTCCCAACCCAGGGATCAAACCCGGGTCCCCTGCATTGTAGGCAGACACTTAACCATCTGAGCCACAGGGAAGTCCACTTATATACATTACTGAGTCAACAAATAAGAACATGTGACCTTGGGACTGTTGTGCACCACATTTGGCAAAAAAGTTCAAAACTTCTCCCAAAAGTACCAGTTCATGTTTTGTCAGAGGGGTCTCGTCCATGGTGAGGGCTGGGGAAAAAGAGGAAGGACCACTGGGCTCTCTGAGCTTCTGAAGCAGCCACCAAAATGCCTTTCCATCATCTTAAAGAGGTAAGAAGATAGGAAAGAAGAGATGGGGAGGAAAGCTCTGCATGTTGAGTCACGGAGAAGATGAACTGAGCATGTTTTTCAGCTTCATTTGTTCTTCCATCCAGAACTAGATTTACTAGGGGTCATCCCTGGTTATGCAGTGGCTAAGACTTGGAGCTCCTGATGCAGCAGGCCCAGATTGGATCCCCGGTCCGGGAACTAGATCTCACATGCCACAACTAAGAGTTTGCATGCTGCAACTAAGGATTCTACATGGCGCAACCAAGACTGAAGATCCCATGTGCTACAACTAAGACTGAGCACAGCCAAATTAAAACCAAGCAACCAACAAATGAAACCCTTAACAAATACTGGTGTAATCTCTCTAACAGGTCAGATAGTCTTCTACCAACCATGGTAAACACAAAACTTACAGAAGACATACTTCCTGCCCAAAGGACTTTCACGTCTTCTGAAAGTATGAGAGACACACAAGAGGAAAAAATGAGCTAAATATACAGGCAGCGGATGGTACAGACAATAAATGCTATGGGAATTGAGGGTGGGATGGGGAGGGGTGAGGGGATGGTCACCACTGAAAGTGTTTAGAAAGAGCTTCAGAGAAGCAGATTGAAAAGGTAAAACGTCAACTTTGAGATTGGTTTGGAACAATGTTCTTGAAAAGTTTATTTGGTAGTCAGGAGCTTCTCGGACTTTGGAAATGGGTTTCTGTAGAAATCATTTCCTAAATCGTGGTTAATATCTTGGACCAGTCCACTGAAATTCACCAAGACTTTGGTCTCATAAGAGCCTCCTGGGGCCCTGCACCAAGCCCTTCTGAAGCCTGAGCTCTGAGTTCCATGGCCCTTGAGACACAGCACAGAGTAGGATGTGATCTAGGCACCAGAGAAGCACAGGCCTCATAATCCACACCTCTAGCAGGGCTTCTGGAGGCTCTCCAGGCCACGATGGGAGATTATAGAAGCTGGGGACAGCAGTAGCTACTTCCACCCTAGGGCATTTGAGAGGTCAAGTTTTGGAAGCCAAGGCAGTTCATTATGAATGGGCCACTGAACAAAATGACTAATTGAAACCATGGTGTTGCTTTTTATAAGAAAAGAAAGTGAATGTTTTTTGAGCCAGGGACTGTAAGCCACTTTCCACTCCTTAAAAACATAATGCTCACAATATCCTATGAGGCAGATAACATTCATCCTATCTTACAGACATGGACACTACGGCTCGCAGTTAAACAATTGGCCCATTGTCATATGGTGCTGTGATTTGGCGTTGGACTTGACTCGAAAGCCAGGCCAGGGTCTCTGCCTGCACACCAGCTGCCTCTTGGAAGTGCCAACAAGAACCAGTAAGATGGGACTTTCACTGATCATCAGACACTTGCTTTCTGAAATCATTGATTTAAATTCTTTTGCACCAGTACCAGGAACAGATTCCAAAAAACTGACTTCCCCTGGGTCAGATCAATGGGGCTTTGTGTCCCTTTCTTCCAGGGGGTCCTTTCTAATGAGATCTTGAAAATTAATCCTGTGACAGGAGTGACTGTTTTGTTGCTGCTTTGGGAGTTGCTTTTGATATCTGCCTTTTAATTTTGCTCTAGGTTAATCAGTTTCCAAAAGAATTGCATAAGGAAAAAATCAGAGAATAGTGTTAGAGGTACAAAAAGAAAGGGAAAGGGAGACTTTCTACTTTCTCCTACCCTAGATTAAATATATATTTTAGTGACTGACAAACACTTGAGCAGAGAAGCCAAAATTTCTATTTCTGCCCTTTACAGAATCCACCTGCAATGCAGGAGACCCTGGTTGGATTTCTGGGTTGGGAAGATCCGCTGGAGAAAGGATAGGCTACCCACTCCAGTATTCTTGGGCTTCCCTTGTTGTGGCTCAGCTGGTAAAGAATCCACCTGCAATGCGGGAGACCTGTGTTCGATCCGTGGGTTGGGAAGATCTCCTGGAGAAGGGAACAGCTACCCACTTCAGTATTCTGGCCTAGAGAATTCCATGGACTGTATAGTCCATGGGCTCGCAAAGAGTTGGACACGACTGAGCAACTTTCACTTTCTTTATAATGGGTTACAGGAAACCAAAATATTGATACTTAGCCTTCCATGACTTTTACCAAAGGAAGGAGAAGCAAATAATACTGAACACATCTTATTTCTATTTGTTAGAAGAAAAAAGAATACATTTAACATTACAGGTGGGTTAAAAGTTCCAGTTCAGTAGAAAACAAATACATAAAAAGTTTAACCTTTAAACTCTCAAATTATCTAAGTGCAGCTTAAGCTAACATAAAATCCTCCTGACACAGGAAACTGTTGTGCATCGATCATGAAGTGTCAGACAAGTCTTGTAGCTTTATTCTAATTCATAACAGTTTTAAAAGGAAACAGTTAAAAAATCTCTGCTCTCATCCCCACCACCCGAACTGCTAAGAGGGGCTCAGTGCAACTACATTTCTGTGCAAACAATGAGGCTTATAGGGAACACCTGCTTTCCTTCTGAGGGTCTGGAATGTTGATGATGCTAGGCAGAGGGTGCTTTTGTGGTCAATCCCCCAAGAAAATCTTGGACACTGAGTCTCTAATGAGCTTCCCTGGTTCATAACACTTCCCAAAGTTTGTCACAACTTAATTGCTGGAGGGATGATGTGTGTCTTGTGTGACTCTGCAGGGAGAAGACTCTTGGAAGCTTGTACCTGGTTCTCTCTGGACTTCACAACCACATCTCCCTTTTCCCTTTGCTGATTTTGCTTTGTATCCTTCTGCTGTAACAAATCTTATCTGTGACGGCAAAAGAAAAAAAAAATCTCCTTTTTCTTTAGAAGTGTAGTGAGTTCTAACATCACCAGCTCCACTCATGGGGAAGCTTCCAGGTCTACATCATGCCAACAGGAAGGATACACAGAAGGAGAAAGGGTTCAAGGGAAGACAAAGAACTCATGATCCCTAGGTAGCAGCTGGTTTGTCTCACTGAATCCTCTCAATAATCTTGTAGAGAAATGAGGGTTATGGATTATTAAAAGGCTCAAATATAGGACCATACTAGGAGTTTTACTATCCTTTTTTACCAATAAGGGAATGGAGGATCAGAGAGCTCCATTACCTCCATGAGATCCTATGCTGTGGCTAGGATACCTGGATTCAGCCCAATTTTTAACTGAACTACCCATTTCACTCTCTCCCCAATAAATGGCAGGGGTCAAGACTTACTCATCTTTGCAGCACCGACATTAAGCATGTTGCCCAACGCGGAAAGTACAGAAAGTGCTCCATACACCGGTGTTGTCACATCTGACCCAAAAGTGCAAATTTTTCCTTTAGGCTCTTACATGCTGCCTTACAAAGAACAGAAAGCACTTCAGATATATGCTGTGCCTCCTTTGTGATCTTAACAGATTTCCTTAGGCACTCAGTTTGGTTTTCCTATCTCACAACCAAATCCAAGACAGTCATTTTCTTCCCCATAACAAGTGAAAAAAAAAATTTTTTTTTTTTTAATTCCCTAGTGGCTCAGTGGTAAAGAATCCACCTGCCAATGCAGGTGATACAGGTACCATCCCTGGTCCAGGAAGATCCCACAGGCCGTGGAGCAACGAAGCCCGTGCACCACAACTTCTGAGCTTGTGCTCGAGAGTCTGGGAGTTGCTGAAGCAGGTATGCTGGAGCCTCTGCTCCGCAGCAAGGGAAGCCACTGCAACGAGAAGCCCACGCACTGCAACTAGAGAAAAGCCCGCATAGCAACAAAGATGCTACCCAGCCAAAAATAAATGAATAAATAAATAAATTGCAAGAAAGGAAGGAAAAAGAAGGGAAAAACTGAAAGTACAGAAGACTGAAATGCATGCTTTCCTTTACTAACATACTTACAGGGACAGTATTGGACAGAGAAGCCCAAAGTAGTAACAGCCCATAATTGGGACTCTTCTGTTCATTTGCTTCCATCTCTAGGAGATCCAGTACAGCCTGCATGACTGTCTGTTTAAAGCAAAAAAAAAAAAGAAATATTGTCAAACCAGAGCTATGTGACCAAGACTGATGTTAATAAAGATCACCTTTCTTTAATCTGAAAAGAACATTTTTCTTAAATCTGAAAGATACGATTTTTGCTATTCTTAGGTTTGCGATTTCAGGCATGCTAAGGGATTTACATACTTACTGGTAGAATAGTAATTGGAAGTAGGGACTCTGGGGTTCAACACTCTTACCACATTGGTTCAAATCCCAGCTTAATTTTTTTAAACACTTTATTTTTTAGAGCAGTTATAAGTTTACAATAAAACTGAGAGGAGAGTACAGAAATTTCTCATATAACCCTTACCCCCACATCTGCGTAACCTTCACCATTGTCATCAGCATCACTTACCAGAACTGTACATTTTTTTTTTACCAAGGATGAAACTAAATGGATATATCATAATCATCTAAAGTGTATAGCTTACCTTAGGATTCATTCTTGGTGTTGTAAACCCTGTGGCCTTGGACAAATGCATAATGACATCTATTATCATTACAATATCACACAGAGTATTTTCATGTCCCTAAAACATCCTCTAAGCTCTGTCTACTAATCTCTGTCCAGTCCCTAACAACCACGCGGATCTTTCTACTTTCTTCATAGTTTTGCCTTTTCCAAAATGTCACATAATTGGAATCAGACAGTACGTAGTCTGCTTATATTAGCTTCTTTCACATAGTAATATGCATTTATGGTTCCTCCAAGCCTTTTCATGGCTTGATAGCTCATTTCTTTTAAGCACTAATCCTCTATTCTCTGTAGGTAGCACAGTTTATCCATTTATCCACTTACCTATTGAAGGGCATCTTGGTTGAGTCCAAAACAGTATAAATATTGCAATACTCTAAAACTATGCAGAGAACTGACATTTGACATGGACTGTGCCAGGTCAAATCAGGCTACATCCAAGGCCACCTACTGTGGCTGTTCTCAGGTCATCACACAAATTCCATGAAAGCATTTCCTTCATTGGAAGGTTACCCAGATTTGCCTCTGCCAATGGTCATCTCCATTACCATGAAGAAACTCAGACATTGTAACATTTTCATTAAACTTACTTGTGCACTGTGAATCTTAAATAGGCAATAGAAATAATAATAGCTAAAGTCTAGTCACTGCTTTGGAAGGCAAGTACTGTTTTAAGGGCTTCACAGGGATCTAAGCATTCAACACTCACCCCAGCTCCAAGGAGTAGATCTGTTATCTTCACTGTTTTACATTTGAGGAAATGAAGGCACAATTAAGTTGGGAAACTTTGCTAGAGACATACAGATCGTCACTGGTTGAGCTGGGACTGAATCCTGGGAGTCTGGCCCCTGGCTCCAGTGCCCACAATCTTAGCGACTAGGCTATCTGCCCTTTGAAAGTCGCTCAGTCATGTCTGACTGTTGGTGAGACCCCATGGACTGTAGCCTGCCAGGCTCCTCTGTCCATGGAATTCTCCAGGCAAGAATACTGGAGTGGGTGTAGCCATTCCCTTCGCCAGGGGATCTTTCCAACCCAGGGATCGAACTCAGGTTTCCTGCATTGCAGGCAGATTCTTTTCTTTACCATCTGAGCCACCAGGAAAGCTCTTTGGGACAATCTTAGCCACTAGGGCTATGCTGCCCCTGAGACTCAATCCTTAACTCATGGATTAGGGATTTGGAGAAGGGCACTACACTACAATGCAGTGGTTTTTTCTTCAGATTCTATAACATGGAAAACACCAATTACATCACTATCAAAGTAAACACATGACCAGAGGCTGTTCCTGTTACTTACAAAGAATGTAATGTTTCAAAAGTGATTAACCCTGGCTTTCTGGTGTTAACAATCCCTGTTTTCCAGGTATTAAAGTTGCTGTGAAAAATAAATGAGTAATGAATTTGTGAAATGTGTAATACTATGCCTGGGACACAGTAAGCACCCCATAAATGTTAGTGATGTCTTATTGTTTTTGTAACAATGGCTTAGCAGGTTTGAAAATAATTTAAGTATAAATTTCATTTACTCTTGATTTCTATCAGACTTACAATGCAAGTTGTTATGGTACAAAGTTAATATTTCATTGAAAATCCTACAGATATATTTCATTCTCTTGACAGGCTATTCTGTGGCACAGCCTTAAATAAAAACATTAGTTTAATATATATCTAGAATAACATGGGAGAAGTCATTCATGTTAAAATATGATAAAATTATGATGTGATAAGTGTGTGTATAATCTTAAAATAAAAAATCTTCTTCGAGTCTTTTGCTTAACTAGGCCATTGAGGGACTTCCTGGTGGTCCAGTGACTAAGACTCTGTGCTCCCAATGCAGAGGCCTGGATTCAATCCCTGGTCAGGGAACTAGAGCCCATATGCTACCGCTAAGACTTGGTGCAGCCAAAAAAAACCACAAACAAATCCCTAAGTCATTGAAATCTACTTATACAGTAAAAGACAACAAAATCTTTTATTTTCTTCTTAGCCCACGTTTTTAAAAGATTGTTGGTATAAAGACATAAACTCTGTGTGAATACTGCTGGAGGAAAACAGAAACAAAAAAAAATTTTTTTTTTAAGTTAAAAATTCCCTAATTTTTCACTCCCAGTACCACTACCACAATTTACAGGGCAATATACCTGATGTAATGAAAAGAAAAAGACAAAGCTACAACAGATAAAAGACCTCAGGAATGTACATCTAATTGACACTACGTTGCATTAATCAATAGCTGCACTCTTTGCAAACTGTGGCTATGACAGTCCTGAACAGAAGGATTTCCTGTTTAAGCTGCAGTAACTTTTCTGACTATGGATCATCATTCCTTCTGTGGCAGATTTTTACAGTTCCTCTAACGCATTTGGGATGACTGTCTCAAAGTAACCTGTAGCTTTCCTGACAAATCTTCACCCTCTCTTCTGCAAGAACTGTAGTCCTTTTCTGAGTTTTTAGAATCTTCTGCTACCATATCCACCACTTCCACCACCAGATCCATAACCACCACCATAGGGACTGCTCGAGCTTCTTCCACCAAAACCGCCCCCTTTCATGGGTCCATAATTTGATTGCTGTTATCCATTGTAATTTCCAAAATCATTATAGTTTCCACCACCACCATAGTTACCTCCAAAACTTCCTCCTTCATTGTAACCATCATATCCTCCACCACCGCCACCATATCCACCACCTTGGTTTCCATATCCTGGTCCACCACCACCGTAACCTCCTCTACTACTATAACCAGGACCACCGCCATCACCTCCAAATCCATTGTATCCACCATCACCTCCTCCATAACTCCCTTCTGTTGCCACCACCTCCACCACCATAGCCCCCTCTTCCACCAAAGTTTCCACCACGGCCAAAGTTACCTCCACCACCTCCAAAGTTTCCTCCATGACCCATAAGTTTGCCAGATCTACCTCCATGACCTCTTTGGCATCCAGCAGATTGCATCTCTCATTTAGAAAGGGCCTTTTTTTAAAAAATGAAGTCACACAGCTCACGAGTGTTCAAACTGAATTCTGCCCCAGCCATAAACACTGAATAAGCTTCACCAAAGTTCAAAATTTGTCTTTATTCAAAGAGGGAGTTCAAGTACTTATGATTAAAGTGCCTCATTTCTTCAGGGTAAGAAAAATAAATGCTATTCTAGAATTATTGTCAGTGGGGAGTTTTAAGTGAAGTGAAGTGAAAGTCGCTCAGTCATGTCCGATTCTTTGTGACCCCATGGACTATACAGTCCATGGAATTCTCCAGGCCAGAATACTGGAGTGCGTAGCCTTTCCTGTCTCCAGGGGATCTTCCCAATCCAGGGATTGAACCCAGGTCTCCCGCATTGCAGGTGGATTCTGTGCCAGCTGAGCCACAAGGGAATCCCGGGAAGTTTTGACTGGGGCATTAAAACCCCTGTTTTCTAGGCTCCTAGATTATAGATCTACTTGGGTCTAGCTTTTATATACACATGGATTTACCTCTAAATTCCAGAAAATAATGCAAAGAACAATGTGTTTGTCCAGATCTGTTTGTAAAATAGAATTCTTAGCAGAGGCAAAGTCTGTCAGTGAAGGGCATCCTAGTCTAACTTTCTTTCCTTTTGGCTAACTTTTGACTGTTTAATTCTGAATAATCTGTATATGGTGATTATTATCTTGTTTGTACTTTACTGTATTATTATTTTTTATTAATTTAAGAAAATAAAAGGCAATGTGATTTTTCCCCTTTTCTGTCTTTTCAGAAATGCCTTGCAGAATATAATGACGGCTTATGATACACAGCAAAGATTGCTTGCATTAAAGAATTTAATACTCCAGCTGTCCTGGTACCCAGTCTAACTTTCTATCCCCTTCATTCGGGAGGGAGAGCCCCAAACATTCACACATTCATTTTTTTTTTCCTAAAGTGAACTTTCCCTCCAGTGTTAAGCAGAGTTGTTGAAAATAACACTTGCTATTGTTAACTAAAAGCAAACGAACAAAAACGTCTGATGTCATCTTTAAGTGCTAAAAGATAGGAAGTGATTTCTTCAGTGAGGATAACAATGATAAACTCTTACATAGTCTTTATTCTGTTCCAAGTGCTTTCCAAATACTAACGCATGGATCCCACAACTCTATGAAGTAGGTGACAAAACTGACACCAAAAGGCTAGGTACTACATCCAAGGTCACAGAGCAGTGACTGAATCTGCGTCCAGGCAGTTCAGGCCAAAAGGACGCTCAGCCTCCCAGGGTGAGTCTGGAGAATTGGGTAATTTTCCAAAGCTTCCAGGGGTTCTAATGAGTGGTCAGGATGGAGAACCATGCATTAGCAAGCATCAGAACCATCTGGAAGGTGCATCAAACCACAGATGGCTAGGCTCCCAGGGTTTCTGCCTGAGTGGTTTCCCAGGTGATGTTGGTACCATTGGTCTAGGGACCACACGTGGAGAACAATAGATCCAGGACACTTGGAAGAGTGACTCCTGGTGCCTTGCTCTTTAAGTTTTATATCATACTACCTGGGTGCATTTGAAGAGAGAAACAATGAGTGGTGGAGACCTCAGGGGAAAAAGTCAAACTTTGTCAAGCTTTATTATCTTTGCCTAACTGGCTGTAACTCCCACCTGAGACTGTTGACCCAAACAACTCTATAATCAATGTGTGTATGCTAAATAGCTTCAATCATGCCTAACTCTTTGTGACCCTATGGACCATAGCCTGCCAGGCACCTCTGTCCATGGGATTCTCCAGGCAAGAACACTGGAGTGGGTTGCCATGCCCTCTTACAGGGGATCTTCCCAACCCAGGGATTGAACTGGCGTCTCTTATATCTCCTGCATTGGCAGGTGGGTTCTTTACCACTGTGCCACCATAAATCAATTTAAAAAGAAACTCAAACTATTGTGTTATTTTGTTATCTGTAGTCTCAGTTTTTCCTTTATGGAAAATAGGGTTAATTCCTTCCTCCCTGTTGTGAGGATGTAATAATAAAATAACGTATGTAAACATCCGACACAGTGGATGGCAAAATGGTATCTAATGCATTTCATGATCTTCAGCAACAACGACAACCACAAAAAAAATCTAAGAAATACTTACCAGGGAATTATCTTTTGCAGATTTGTATGTTTTTATATCCGGAATGTTTTTCTCAAAAAGTTCTAGAAGCCATTTTTTGGATTTTGACCAGTTTCTAGGTGAGAAAGAATACGTGTATAAATTAACTGAAAAGCACTCTAGGAGAAATAGATCACAGCAGAAAAGCGACACTGTCTACAGAATTTGAATTCTCCAAACATCTTCTTTTTCAGTGGGAACTTCATGAGCGGTCTTCCTTCAGATTTATCAGTATCCAAGGAAAACTGAGGGGGCAAAGCAGTCACATTTTAGAGTCTTTTGCAAAGAAGCGTTTGCATTCCTAGAGGACCGGCGCTGAATAAGAAAACAGGGCCTATGACTTGCTCAGTCTAAGGTTACACTGGCTGTTGCCCATCTCAGGAGGATGAAAAACTAGTACTGGACCTGTGACTGGGTTAAATGAGGTAAAGCAAACTGACGAAGAGCTTTTTAATCTTTCCTGACCAGTCATCAGTGTAGACCAACTGCCAAGAAACTAAAAAAAAAAAAAAAAAAAAAAATCACATTACTTTGTAATCAAACCGTTTCACAAACTTTTTTTTTTTGTTTCTTTTTTTTTGTTTGTTTGTTTCATAAACTTTTATCTGAGCCAATTGTAAGAAATACAATTGACCACAACTACTGTTGCCTCAGGGGAGAATAAGGACAAGGTCTGATTCTGACCCAGGTCACACTTGATAATGCAGGAATGACTGGTAAGAGTAAGCTGGAAATGGCATAGCAGGTCTCAAAACAGACTCTTCGTTTCTTTCTCATATTCTCCCCTTCCGCTCTTGTTTTTGTTCCTCAAAATGAGACTAAAGAAATAATATCCATCACTTTTCTTTAGTTCCTCCCTCAATTCAAACACACACAACCCTAACTGGTCATAAGAATTAGCTTCTGTCTCTTCCACTTAAACTGCTATTATATCTACTTAGAACAGAGAGGAGTGACAAATATGAATGGCTGAGGGGAGCTTGAAAAGGGAATTAATACAGGAAACAGCTCTCTACCTGAGGAGGCATTCTGGCAACTGGGACCCATATTCGAAACCTTCATCATAAGCTTGAAAGTGCTGATGAAACTCCCTGATTTTCCTCTCATCTGAGGGAAACAGACCCTTTTTAAAGAGTATGTTCACTGTGACGGGGTAAAGGAGGTGCCTGCAAAGATAGAAACACATAAAATGTCAGAGCCAGTGACCAAAGAAGAAGTCACAGGATACAAGAAGGCATTATTGAACAGCTATATGTTAGGGGTAGACAATCATATGTGGGGCTGCCAAGGCAATAGTGGTAAAGAACCTGCTTACCAATGTGGAGACATCAGAGACGCCAGTTCAATCCCTGGGTTAGGAAGATCCCCTAGAAGAGGAAATGGCAACCCACTCCAGTATTCTTGCCTGGAGAATTCCATGGAAAGAGAAGCCTGGTGGGCTATAGTCTATGGGGTATCAAAGAGTCGGATACGACTCGAGACTTAGCACACACACATGCACGCAATCATATGTGATAAATTTGGTGGGGGGAAGTCACTCTTAAGAGCTTTTAATATTTGGTTACTGTGCTCAAGATAACTTAGGGGTAAAACTGTGGTCTTATTTATCTAAAGATTTTCAAATGCTTTCTAATCAAGTATTGTTCGATCCTGATAAATGTGAGCTTAAAACTAAGGTGGTGTTTCAGTGGGCTCCGAAGAACTCTGGTACCATAGTTCTTTACGTCTCAGCACAGAAAGAATTCAGTGAGAGACAGTGTGATAGATAAGGAATTATTTATTAGAATAGGATGCGTGTGAGGCTTACGAGTAGTGGGTCAGAGGAGGCCTCAACCCAAGAACTTAATGGGCTAGAGTTTTACAAACACAGGAAAAGTGGGGAAGCGGAGAAGACCTTTTTCTTGAGCAGATGTCATGCTTCCATCATCAGTTCCTCCTGCAGGTTGAGCAGGGGAGCTTTCTTGTCCCTACATGGTCAAGCCACGTCCATAAATTGCTGTTTTTTATGTATGCAGAGAGCGTGTCCTAACTTACTGAGCTCACTGAACTGGATGAGGGTCTCATGCCACCATTGTTGTATTGTCTTGGGGCATGTCTTGTGCTTCTGTTGCATGGTTTTACTGCTAAGCGAGCCTGCTTGGTTTCATGATTACGTAAATCTGTTTTCTTGAGTAATCATTAACTTACAGGGGCCTCCCATGTTTTTTTCTACTTGCAATCCCCTAGTGGGGTTAACTATTTAATCACCTGCTTTGTCCCTAAACTCTGTCCTTATCAAGCTGATACACAGAAAAATTCAACACAATTTCAACAAGCATTTATTTTTAGCAAATAACAACAATAACCAAGATACTGCTCATACCTTTAGATAGCAGCAAAAAATAACCAAAGAATCAAGGGCAATATTAGTCACCAAATTCCTAATATCTCCCAGGATCTTATGACTTTGAACTATACTGAAAATTCAAATGCAGTATTGAGAAAAGGAATATTTCCTGCCATATCAATAAACAAAGGATGTCACAGCCATCAGCAACTATAGCCACCACTGATGGTGAGCTGGTGAGCCCTGAGGAAACTCAGGAAGGAAAAGAATACTTGCTACCCGGCAGCCCTCAGACTGCAGCCACTCCCTGCGGTGAGCCCCAGGAGCCTCCAGATGTGAAAACACGGGATATTAGTCCCGGAGAGCTGAGGTGCCTATCAAATGAATGATTTCAGTGAGCCCAGACTCTTGCATATTCCCAAACATAGAAAAGTGCTAAATTCCTGAGATATGTGGTTTTCTTTGATTAATAAAAATCTTCTGACAGATGTTCAGACTACCTGTCCTTTGTTGCAAAACTTCTATATGACCTGGCTCCTGGTCTCACCTTTTCAAAGCAGTTCTCTCAGGGTAACTTGAGATGCTGAAGTTGAAGTTTTAGGGCTTGAAATCCTAAAAATTCCCACCAAATAAAACATAACTCTCAGCTTTTAGGTTGTGAATATTTCTGAAGTCTACGGTATCTGTCATCAGTAAGTTTTCCCTCAAGTGAATAAAATTACTGTGGAATACTTACATAAAAAGAATATCAAAGATTATTAATATGTTCTAGATTAGTAACACTAAGTACTGTATCTTCCATTTTTGTTTGCCATCTGTCCTTGACAGAAAATTCTCAGGATCTCCTTCTGTCACAGTTTCAAAGTTATTCAAGAATTTGCTTAGTTTTGTTGTATACATTGGGCATGTCAAAAGTTTGGTTGGTTGGTTGTTTCTGTTTTTATTTTTTCCCTATTTCTGGACTTGTAACAAAATATTAAATGTTGTTGTGCTTTATGAGTCTGAACAGTTGAATCTTGCCTCCAGTATCAGGGTATCCCCCTGAGATGGAAAAGTGCCTCACTGGTAACTTCAATTTACCAAATCTCCCTGCACGTGGTGGGGATTTTTCACATGGCTCCCGTGCTCAGCCCTGACATTTGTCAAAAAGCTCCAGAACATAACTGAGCACCACCTGGCTCCCCATACTGTCCTTGCCTGTCTCACTTTCTCAGCATCTCTGCTCTCGGAGGACTCTGGGCTCAGTCCTGAGGCCCATGGTGGCTTTGCCTCAGCCACCTTGTGAAGTCTTATAGACATCTCCTGGAATCTTGTCCTCTACTTTGCAATTCTCTCCTCTTCCCTCTCCTCTCAATGTCCTCTTGTTCGAATAATCAAAAATTGCAGTGAATGCTTTATCAAAATTCTGATGGATACATACCAATTATATGAAGGAAATCCATGTAAAGCAAACAAAATTGTAAGGAATGACTAAGAAGAAATTATTATATATGTGCTAAAATGATTTTATTGGCTTGTTTGTAATGTGCCTGCTAAGTTGCTTCAGTTGTGTCTGACTCTTTGTGACCCCATGGACTGTAGCCTGCCAAGCTCCTCTGTCCATGGGATTCTCCAGGCAAGAATACTGGAGTGCGTTGCCATGCCCTCCTCCAGGGGATCTTCCCAATCCAGGGATTGAATCCATCATCTCTTACATCTCCTGCAGTGGCAGGCAGGTTCTTTTCCACTAGTGCCACCTGGGATCTATTGGTTTGTTTGCTTAACTTCAAATTGAAGTACTAAATGAAAACTGCCCATTAATTAGAATTTAAAAGAGCAATAGAATTTTTTAATTGGTTAGTAAGGTAGATTTCATTAATCCATCACATAGTATCTGAGGTCCAACATATAGGCTTCAAACTTTCTTATTCCCCTCCCCCCAAAAAAGAAAACAAAACAAAAATAATAAGGCATTGATTTACCTCATAAACTTGTTCAGGTCTGTGGTCCCATGAGTACCTAAATTCTGCAACTGTTCCTGTAATTCTTCAGTCAATTGTCCAGTGAATTTGTATAGGTTTAAAGTCCCCATTTTCCCTTTCACCGTGATATAAAGTTTCTCATGCAGTTTTAAAAAGATATTCTTTGCGATGGATGCTATAAACAGAGAAAACACTTTTCAAAAGAGGCAACCACGTCTTGAAGTAAACCATCAGTGACCTCCCTCTGTGTCTTGATCAGCAGGAACTAGAGCCAGGGGTGAAGATTCAACATAAACTGTGAGATGGTGAAAGCCTTAACAAAGTTTGCAAGGCCTTCTACCCTCTTTCCAGGTCTCCAATGGTATTTCCAGTGTCTTCACCCTCCAAATATATATTTCAGGTAAAACACACTCTTTTTTACATCTCACCATCTTCACGAGCTGTTCTATCTGCTCAGAATGTTCTCTGTTTTTGACAACCAACCCTCACTTCCCTTACACACCTATAAGATATACATTTCTCCTTCTGACTTGTTTTCTCCTTTAAGTGTCTTAAATATTGTCTCCACCAGCAGGATCTTCCTAACTCCATGAGTAGCTTTGGCTCCACTGTTCACCCCACCCCCTTTTATTTTATTTTTTTGATGTGGATCATTTTTAGTCTCTATTGAATTTATTACAATATTGTTTTTGCTTTATGTTTTGGTTTTTTGGCCATGAGGCATGTGGGATCGTAGCACCCAGACCAGGGATCAAACCTGCATCCCCTGAATTGGAAGGTGAACTCTCAACCACTGGACCACCAGGGAAGTCCCCACACCGTTCCACTGTTCCCTTTGTCTTATTGCTCATGTTCCTTTCATGACACATCTGGTCTGGTCTGGGTGTTAAAGAGTATGAATTTTTGAACTCATTATTACTTTATATTTTTCTTTAAATCCTCTTTAATTATCTTCGAAATAAGTTTTTTAAAAAATAATTTTTAATTTTATATTTCATCATCCTATTATATGTAGGTTACATTTCATATAGTTAATGAAAAATAATTTGTAGATTTCTTGAGTATGTATCATTTATGTGGTAGAGGTATATTAAAAAGGAATGGGAAGCTGGCTCATGAGTAAATATTAAGATATTTTATCTGTTAATTAGAAATATTTAAACATGAAAGTCCCCAGGGGAGGCAGAGCTGAAAAAAAACCTGATCATTTCAATATACCTCTGATAGGTAAGTTGGTGTATTTTTCTGAAGGAATATGCAAATTTAAAGATCAAGGATCTTCCAAATGTTTATATTTCTTTGATATGGAATGCCAGTCTAAATATCAAGAAGCATCAAAGAGTCAAAAAATGTAGTCAACATGTTATGATTTTTCATGCAAGCAACAAAAAATTATAATCATGCTATTGATCACTAACAGCTTTGAAAACAAACTTTTATGTCTTAATGGCAAGAAATGCATAAGAAGAAGCTACAGGAAAATGAACCTAAGAAAGAAGCAAAAAAAGGAAGCCAAGAGAAAGAAAGATGTTAGAAGCAAGCACAGGCATTGTGAAAGCAGAGAAAAGAACCAGGTGCAAAATGAACCAGCTCTGTATTCCTGGGAAGACAAATGGCCTTAGCATGCCTGTTCACATCCTGGGGAGAAATAAAGGCAGTCACACTGAAAGTATGCTGGTGAATTGAATCTAGCAGTCTCTGAAGATGAAGAAAGAAAGGGCACCAATTATATGAAGTCAAGCCACACTCACCTTAATAACCCTATGGATTATGTCAGGCAATGACACAGTAAAGAGCTTAATGGGGCTTCCTTGGTGGTCCAGGGGTTAAAAATCTGCCTTCCAATGCAGGGGACATGGGTTTGATCCCTGGTCAGGGAACTAAGATCCCTCACACTGCAGGGTAACTAAAGGCACACACTGCAACCAGGGAGCCCATGCCACAAAGAGAAGCTCTCCTCCACGGCAACAAAAGACGGAGCACAGCCAAAATAAAGGAGGGGGGCTTATGTGGAGCAACATGAGATCAAACAAGAGCTATAACCTGTAAAACACATGCACAGCAGTGTAACAGAGTCAGTGACATCTTGGGGGCTGTTAACAGGATGCAGATTCCAGTATTTTCCCAAGGAAACGTCCATAAGGTGACCTTATCTTTTCCACCTGTCTTGTGGAGATCCTGATGTTTTACATTGCCAATAATTTATTTTTCGGGCTTCGCTCAGATGGTAAAGAATCCACCTGCAATGCAGGAGACCTGGCTTTGACCCCTAGGGTGGGAAGATTCCACTGGAGAAGGGAATGGCTACTACTTCAATATTCTTGCCTGGAAAAACCCATGAACAGAGGAACCTGGCAGGCTACAGTCCAGGGGGCCACCAAGAGTTGGACACAACTCAGCGACTAAGCACACAATTTGTTTTCCAAAGGCCAAACTCATCACAAACTCTTTTCTATCCCTACTCTAAGGAATAAAATAATGGGTCTGCCTCATTTTTGATAGATGTGCTTGTTACCTACAACTGCTCTTGGGATTCCATGCTGTATTTCAAATGGGCTATCTGAAAATACTGTTTACCTGTACGATAGATGGGATTTTGCACTGCTAGTTCAAAATTTACTTCTTTGGATTTGAGAAACACATTAATTCCCTCTTCTTCAGTAACAAAGGTCATTCGGGTGCCCATAACAATGACTGTAAATACTGGTCCATACTGAAAGAAAACACATAAGTACAGATCAGATTAGTGAGCATTTCTAATAGATAAGTTACAGGACATGAGTTATGCTTAAGACAGAGTTCCTCAAGAACCCCAATACTGAGATTACAGTCAAGATAAAAACTATTAAGATTTGGTATAATGTATGTGTGCTCAGTCACATCCGACTCTTTGCGACCCTATGGACTATAACCTGCCAGGCTCCTCTGTCCATGGAATTTTCCAGGCAAGAATACTGGAGTGGCTTTCCATTTCCTAGTAATTAGTTATAAATTTTGATTGATGGAGTGAAATTATATAAATCCTAATTTATTCTGTCATATTTAACCTTCCTTTTGATTGTATTTTTATTTGTTTGCACCTTCCATTCTGGCAGTAGCAAATAAAACTTAGAAATAATTGTTAGAAATTAGGTTAAACACTGCGATATTCCAACACTGTTTTCAAGATACCTGGAGGGTTATAAGCAACCTATGGTTGAACTTTGTTCAAGAAAAAGAAAACTGCTGACTGATTTCACCGTCAATCTCTGGTCACTCAATAATGTCCACAATACAAAGTTCTGTAATGTTCACTTTCTCCCTTTCCAAAATGTCTCACCTGTTCACCCTGCCCAACCCTCTCCACTCAGAGAGTTCCTGCTTTGTAACTCACTGGGGAAAATGAGCACCCTCAGCTTCTCACCACCAGGGCAAAGAATTGTACCCATTTGTACCCATTCTCCATGCTTCCCCTCAAGTTAACAGGTGGAGGTCCTGCCCCTGGGAAATGCCCACCCTCCTTCACTTGTGGTATGGATTCCATATTCTCTCTTTGTTCTTCATGGATACCTTCTCTCTCATACACCATCACTTGTGCCTTTTCTATCAGATGACTCCTAGGAGCCTCTAGGAGTCAAACATCTTCTAGTGGATGGGTTTGGCTTCAGGGAGTCCACAACTTTACTGAGAGAAAAAAATATCATTATTTTCACTGGCCTCTAACTATAATTTAACATTTTCAATTATGAATGGAGGCAATAAACCACAATCTTCCCCATAACTCTAACCTCAAAAGAGCTTACTGTTCCAATTGTACTTTTTTAGATTTGGTGTCTATTTGGCATCCATTCCTCACAGGGCCACTTACATTAGCTACATTTTCTTTTTTCTTTTTCTATTCAAATGATGCCTCTTAAATTCTCTTGAATGTTCTCTAGAATACATTAAAATAAGCAGAGGTAAAATACAAAGGGTTGACTAAGATGTATTTTTATTTTCTTAGAATACTCAAAATGAACACATTTAAACACAAACCAATCTCATATTTCAAAAGAGAAGTACAGGCAGCACAAATGGAAGAGAAGAGGAACCATTACACTAAGAATATTTTAATCATTTTTAAGCCATACAAGTCCTTCAAATTCCACTAACAAAAAGTTATTTTATAGCTTCTACCCAAAATTTACAGAAGTCCCAAATTGATATGATTCTTTTGTCTTCTTGAGCTATGTTTTCTTATTCATGATGTGCAGCTTTGGAGGCCTCACTTTGTTGTTGTTGTTGAGTTGCTAAGTCAAGTCCAACTCTTTTGCAACCCCACAGACTGTAGCCTGCCAGGCTCCTCTGTCCATGGGACTGTCCAGGCAAGAATACTGGAGTGGGTAGCCATTTCCTTCTCCAGGGGATCTTCTCGACCCAGGGATCGAACTGGCGTCTCCTGCATTGGCAGGCAGATTCCTTACCACTGAGCCACCAGGGGAGCCCCCTGGCTTCACTACTGGGTAGAAATGGCCCTCTCAGAGCTAGCTGATAATTAGAGAGAGCAAAGGATTCCGCCAACCAGGAACACGCCTTTCATATGCAAGTCAACCCACCTTGAGTCTATATTCTCAACTCTTTCCTGGTCTAAACTCTGACACACCAAGCCAATCTGATCCCTGCCCTAAATCATCCCAGAAAAAGTCACCGGGCATCTGGAGACCAACCCTAGAGCTCAAAGCCCCAAGAAACTCTTCAGGGCCATCAGTCCTAAATTGTCTACCCTGCCTTGCCTTGCTCTCCCGAGGAAACTCCAACAAAGGCTGTGCGTGGGGCTTTCTCTTGTTCCATCTTCTGCATCTTGACTGACAAGAGTTCTTTCCACTGTGGCCTTGCAGAGCACACAGGGACCCTTGTCTTGGACCCATGCGTATTATAACCTTCCTTCAAAGCCTCATTCTCATTTCCTCCTGTGACTTTCCCGTACCACATTCAACATGTGTATTTTTGGAACAACCACCCGTACTTTTATATCCCATTATAGTAAATTGATGCTTTCAAATTGTGGTGCTAGAGAAGATGCTTAAGAGTCTCTTGGACAGAAAGGAGGTCAAGCCAGTCAGTTCTTAAGGAAATCAACCCTGAATATTCATTGGAAGGACTGAATCTGAAGCTGCAGCGTCAATACTTTGGCCATCTGATGCGAAGAGCTGACTCATCGGAAAAGACCATGATGCTGGGAAAGACTGAGGGCAGGAGGAGAAGGGGGGGACAGAGGATGAGGTGGTTGGCTGGCATCACTGACTCAATGGACATGAGTTTGAGCAAACTCCAGGAGATAGTGAAGGACAGGGAAGCCTGGCATGCTGCAATTCATGGGGTGAATTATTTTTACATTCATTATTTTTACATTTAATGGAGTGCCCAAAGTGACCATTTAAAATTTAAATCAGATCACATTACTCCTCTGCTCAAAACACAGTTTCCCACTTCACTCTAAGTTACAATGTTCTCTTAATAATCTGTAATAACCTATATGGGAAAAGAATTTGAAGAAGAATGAATATATGTATATGTATAACTGAATAACTCTGCTGCACACCTAAAACTAACACACATCAACTACACCCTAATGTGTGCATGCGTACTTAATTGCTTCAGTCTTGTTCGATTCTTTGTGACCCTACAGACCATAGCCCACCAAACTCCTCTGTTGATGGGATTCCCCAGGTAAGAATACTGGAGTGGGTTGCCATGTCCTCCTCCAGGGGATCTTCCTGACCCAGGGCTCAAACCCGAGTCTCTTAAGTCAGAGGTAGGGTCTTTCTTTACCACTAGCGCCATCTGGAAACCCTATAATCTAATATAAAATAAAAATTAAATAAAAAAATACACTCACATTTTGAATCTGATCATTTACTCCATGGATATACTTGCACACATAGAAATGACATTTGTTGCTACATTATTTATAATAGTGAAATACAGAAAGCAAACCATGTCAATCATTAGGTGACTAAGTGAACTATGACTCAGGGAATATTCCGCAGCTTTTAAAACAAATGCAAACAAGTGGTGCTGGGAAAACGGGTCAACCACTTGTAAAAGAATGAAATTAGAACACTTTCTAACACCATACACAAAAATAAACTCAAAATGGATTAAAGATCTAAATGTAAGACCAGAAACCATAAGACTCCTAGAGGAGAACATAGGCAAAACACTCTCTGACATAAATCACAGCAGGATCCTCTATGACCCACCTCCCAGAATATTGGAAATAAAAGCAAAAATACACAAATGGGACCTAATTAAACTTAAAAGCTTTTGCACAACAAAGGAAACTATAAGCAAGGTGAAAAGACAGCCCTCAGAATGGGAGAAAATAATAGCAAATGAAGCAACAGATTAATCTCAAAAATATACAAGCAGCTCCTGCAGCTCAATTCCAGAAAAATAAATGACCCAATCAAAAAATGGGCCAAAGAACCAAACAGACATTTCTCCAAAGAAGACATACAGATGGCTAACAAACACATGGAAAGATGCTCAACATCACTCATTATCAGAGAAATGCAAATCAAAACCACAATGAGGTACCATTACATGCCAGTCAGGATGGCTGCTATCCAAAAGTCTACAAGCAATAAATGCTGGAGAGGGTGTGGAGAAAAGGGAACCCTCTTACACTGTTGGTGGGAATGCAAACTAGTACAGCCGCTATGAAGAACAGTGTGGAGATTCCTTAAAAAACTGGAAATAGAACTGCCATATGACCCAGCAATACCACTCCTGGGCATACACACTGAGGAAACTAGATCTGAAAGAGACACGTGTGCCCCAATGTTCATTGCAGCACTGTTTATAATTGGCAGGACATGGAAGCAACCTAGATGCCCATCAGCAGACGAATGGATAAAGAAGCTATGGTACATATATACAATGGAATATTACTCAGCCATGAAAAAGAATTCATTTGAATCAGTTCTAATGAGATGGATGAAACTGGAGCCCATTATACAGATTGAAGTAAGCCAGAAAGATAAAGACCAATACAGTATAGTAATGCATATATATGGAATTTAGAAAGATGGTAATGATAACCCAATATGCAAAACAGAAAGAGACACAGATGTATAGAACAGACTTTTGAACTCTGTGGGAGAAGGCGAGGGTGGGATGTTCTGAGAGAATAGCATTAAAACAAGCATACTATCAAGGGTGAAACAGATCACCAGCCCAGGTTGGATGCATGAGACAAGGACTCAGGGCTGGTGCACTGGGAAGACCCAGAGGGATGGGATGGGGAGGGAGGCGGGAAGGGGGATCAGGATGGGGAACACATGTAAATCCATGGCTGATTCATGTATGGCAAAAACCACTACAATATTGTAAAGTAATTAGCCTCCAACTAATAAAAATAAATGAAAAAAAAAAAGAAGATACTTATCAGTGTAGTTCTCTGTACCCAGCAAAGGTATCTTAAAAGGATGAAAGTAAAATAAACAATCAACCCCCACCCCCCCACACAAAAAAATGCAGATGCCTTTGTGTCTGTGTAGGATGAAAGAAAAGAGGGGTAGATTACAAAAATCATATTTTTAAAGGCATCAGAGAGTTGGGGAAACAATAAGATCTAAATGGACTAAAACAACACTGAGAATAGGAGTGAACTGATTTAGTGACTAGGTCACTATTTATTTCCCTGGTAGCATCTGTGAATTCTGGGTATGGACCAGGTAAAGTCTGAAATAGGCACCTTTGAAAAACCTACAGGTAATAAGAAATTTAATGCTGAAAACACTGAACACTTTTCCCTGAATATTAGGAAAAAGACAAGCTTATCTATGTACACCATTTTTATTCAACAGTCTATTAGAAGTTTCTCTTTATGTTGGAGAATGGAACGGCTACCCACTCCAGTATTCTGGCCTGGAGAATTCCATGGACTCTATAGTCCATGGGGTCACAAAGAGTTGGACATGACTGAGCGACTTTCACTTCACTTCACTTCTCTTTATGTAAGAAAAAGAAATAAAAGGCATAAAGATCAGAAAACAGGAAATAAACTTATCTGTTTGTAGGATATACTGTGTATGTCTAAAAATCTTAGGAAATCTACAAAATAACTACTGGAACTAATAAGTGAATTTGGCAAGATAAGAGAATACAGAACAAAAACAATTATATCTTCTATGTGCCAGAGTGATATCGCTGGAAAACAAAAGTGAAAACAATTTATGGACTTCCCTGGGCATCCATGGTTAACACTCTGCACTTCTAAGGCAGGGGGTGCAGGTTTGATCCCTGGTCAGTGAACTAAGATCCCCATATGACAGCTACACAGTGCAGCCAAGAGGGAAAAAAAAAAGTGAAAGCAATCTACAATTTCTGCAATATCCTCAAGGTATCTACAATAGCCTCAAGAATATAAAATACTTCAGGAAAATAATTAACAATCACAGGCAAGACTCCCATTATCAGAAACTACAGAATATGCCTAAAAATATTATATAACAAATGGAAGATATGGCAGTTATAGAAGACAATATCATTAAAAAGTCAACTTCCCTCAATTTTTCTATAGACTTAACAAACTTCCAATTATACTTCTATCAGTTTTTATTGATATTGGCAAGCCAATTCAAAAATTTATATTCGAATGTAAATAATCTTAAATGCCTTTCCATACTGTTCATGGGGTTCTCAAGGCAAGAATACTGAAGTGGGTTACCATTCCCTTCTCCAGCAGACCACATTTTGTCAGAACTGTCCCCCATGACCCGTCCATCTTGGGTGGCCCTACATGGCCTGCATGGCTCATAGTTTCATTGAGTTAGACAAGGCTGTGATCCAAGTGATCAATTGGGTTAGTTTTCTGTAATTGTAGTTTCCATTCTGTCTGCCATCTGATGGATGGATAAGGATAAGAGGCTTGTGGAAGCTTTCTGTTGGAAGAAACTGGCTGTGGGGGAATCTGGATCCTGCTCTGGTGGGTGGGGCCACACTTAGTAAATCTTTAATCCAATTGTCTGTTGATGGGTGGGGCTGTGTTCCCTCCCAGTTGTTTGGCCTAAAGCCAAACTATGGTAGGGTTAATGGAGACCTCCTTCAAAAGGACTTAGGCCAGACTGCAGAATTCAGTGTCCCTGACTCCATGGCAGGCCACTGTCAACCCACGCCTCCACTGGTGACTCTGGACATGCACAGACAAGTCTGGTTCAGTCTCTTGTGAGGTCACTGCTCCTTTCTCCTGGGTCCTGGTGTGCACAAGGTTTTGTTTGTGCTGTCCAAGAGTATGTTTCCCTAGTCCTATGGAAGTTCTGTAATCAAATCCCACTGGCTTCCAAAGTCAAATGCCCTGGGGGGTTCTCAGTCCCTCTCCAGATCCCCAGATGCTGGAAAACCTGTTATGGGCCCTAGAGCTTTCTCAACAGTGTGAGAACTCCTTTGATAAAATTGTTCTCCAGTTTGTGGGTCGTCCGCTCAGTGACTCTATGGCGGGGCACACACGCAGAGCCTCCCAGGTCTGCTGCAGCCAAAGCCCCTATCCCCGCAACAGGCCACTGCTTACCGATGCCTCCATAGGAGACACCCAAACACTCAAAGGCAAGTCTGGCTCAGTCTCTTGTGGGGTCCCTGCATCCTGGTGCCCACAAGGTTTTGTTTGAGCCACAGTTAGAACTGGACATGGAACACCAACTGGTTCCAGATTGGGAAAGGAGTACATCAAGGCTGCATATTGTCACCCTGCTTATTTAACTTATATGCAGAGTACATCATGTGAAATTGCCAACTGGATGAGGCACAAGTTGGAATCAAGATTCCTGGGAGAAATATCAATAACCTTAGATATGCAGATGATACCACCCTTATGACAGAAAGCGAAGAAGAACTAAAGAGCCTCTTGATGAAAGTGAAAGAGGAGAGTGAAAAAGCTGGCTTAAAACTCAACGTTCAAAAAATGAAGATCATGGCATCCAATCCCATCACTTCACAGATGGGGGAACAATGGAAACAGTGAGAGACTTTATCTTCTTGGGCTCCAAAATCACTGCAGATGGTGACTGCAGCCATGAAATTAAGAGACGCTCCTTGGAAGAAAAGTTATGACCAAACTAGACAGTATATTAAAAAGCAGAGACATTACTTTGCCAACAAAGGTCTGTCTAGTCAAAGCTATGGTTTTCCCAGTATTCATGTACAGATGTGAGAGTTGGACCATAAAGAAAGCTGAGCACCCAAGAATTGACGCCTTTGAACTGTGTGTTGGAGAAGACTCTTGAGAGTCCCTTGGACTGAAAAGAGATCAAACCAGTCAATCCTACAGGAAATCAGTGCTGAATATTCATTGGAAGGACTGATGCTGAAGCTGAAACTCCAATACTTTGGCCACCTGATGCAAAGAACTGACTCCTTGGAAAAGACCCTGATGCTGGGAAAGATTAAAGGCGGGAGGAAAAGGGGACCACAGAGGATGAGATGGTTGGATGGCATCACCGACTCGATGGACATGAGTTTGAGCAAGCTTGGGGATTTGGTGATGGACAGGGAAGCCTGGCATACTGCAGTCCATGGGGTCGCAACTGAGCGACTGAACTGAACTGAATCTTGAATACCACATCAATGCCAAAATATTCAAAGAATTTTCACTACCTGTTTTAAAGATTTACTATAAAACTGTAGTATTAGTGTTAACAAAGGAGTGGGCATTTAATCAATGGAATAGGATAGAAAGGCTAGACATAGATCTACACATATACGGTCAATTAATCTTTGAAATGCTGCAAAAGGCAATTCAGTGAGGAAAGGAAAGTCCTTGAAGAAATAATACAGAAACAACTGGACATGGAGATGGAAAAAAAATGAAACTCATCCTCTCTGTACACGTTACAAAAAAATTAACTCTAAGTGGCTCTAGCACCTAAATGTAAAATACAAAGCTATAAACCTTTTACAAGAAAACAGAATAAACTTTGTGACCTTGCTTGACTTTCTGAGACAAGCTTTCAGAAACATTCCTAAAGATTTATCAAAATCATCTATCTAAGGAAGGCTACAGAAGACAAAGACGTATTTCTTTAAAAGACAGTATTTTTCATCTATCAAACTAGCAAGAATTATGGTACCTAGCTAGTATGGGCCAGAATATGAGAGTCAGGAAATCTACACTCAAAGGAAAAGGAAAAGGATTCTTACATAATTTTTTAATCGTTACATAATCCCTAGGGGCAACACAATAATATAAACAATTTAATCTCCTTTAGGTAGTCTCACATTTAGGTATTTATTCTGATGAAACAATCAGGTCAATGCAAAAAGTACAAACAGTGAAAACACACAGGAACATACACACAAGACGGTTAATTGAAGCATTGTTTGAAATAAAGACAAAAGTTAGCAGCAACCAATATACTATTTTTGAAAGATATATTTAAAAGTGATTTTAAAGACAAAAACATGTACAACAATGATTACTAATATCCTTAGTGTGCAGTGAAAATGGACCTCACCATAATCAAATAACACCAGCCGAAAATACAGTGCCCAATGTATTTGTAAAAACCAAGTTTGCAAGCCATTTTTACAACTGCCTGGTGTTAATCTTGGTTTGGATACTCACTTATTAAGTGTTTTCATAAATCGAAATTAATTATATTACACTTCTGTCTTCCCAATCATTTAATTTAGTTAATATATATATACACTTTGGATTTTTAATCTATGATGAAGTAACTAGCACTTTTAAATTAATTTCTACTTCCAAAAAGGTACTGACAAGCTGTCTTGTATTTCACAACTCATAAAAACCTATTTCTTTAGAAAAATCTTGCATAAGACAGTTGATTGTTAGTTAACTTACTCATAAATGGCTAGATCGTTTAACTGAGGGCAGTAGGTAGGTTCCCCACATTCTAACATTGCATTTGAGATGTAACGAAAGAAAATAAAAAAGAATACATTATCTCTTCCGGAAACCCCATGTGCTGAGGCCACATACCTTGATTCTTGCTTTCTCTATAAATTCTAGAGGGGTTTTTCCAAACTCAAAACCAGCTCCAATCCAAGGAATCCAGCCCGATATGCACGGGGGTCTACGCAAGTTCTTCCACTGAAGAAATAATAAAACAGCAACACAACCTAAGATTATAATCACTGTTGGGGAAATGAATTCCATGTTTTTGGTCTAGCACCTTCCTGAATCAGAGAAGGGCAAAGTCTTGCTTCTTCGCCCTGGAACAGGGCACTCACTGGACCTCCTAACTTTTCCGTTGTTACTTTTGCAGCTTGCTCGACTTCTTAACTGTAGCCTCTTTTCTCCGCCCCAATTTTTAGGTAACTTTTGCATCATCTCTTCCTCCCACGTCCACGTCTTTTTCAAGTCCTGGCTATCCGGGACAGAAGGCAGGGGTTGGATCCAGCCCTGGCGAGTGCAGAGGGTGGAGTAGGGAGCCCTGTTACTATGGAGACCGGGGGAATGGCTCGGGGGCAGCTGGCTTGCGGCTAATCAGAGAACTCGGCCGAAAGGGGCGGAGCCACGCGGACTACATTTCCCAGAAGCCTCGGGGGCTGCGAGCTGCGTTCCGCTCCCTATCGACTGGGCTGTTCCAGCCTGGGGCTGCCAGGGAGGCTGAGGGTTCGTTGGGCCCGCCTGGCCGAGCCAAGCTAGAGAAATGATCCCCGCCTCGCAGCGTGTCGCTTGAGAAGGGGCCGCCCTGGCCGGGTGGCAGGCCAGCCGCGGCGCGGGACGCGGGCCAGAAGGGGCGTATCGTCGTCCCGTGCTGCTGCTGAATGTCGACTCCAGACGATGCGGAGAGGCTCTCGCCGCTCGTCCAGAGATGGCCCCGCGCGAGCAAGTTCCTCCTGTCGGGCTGCGCGGCCACCGTGGCCGAGCTAGGTACCCGGCCGTCCAGCCTGGGCCTCCCCGGCCCGACCTCCAGGGGCCGCCCGGGGTGGGGGGCCGGGCGGGTGGCTTCGTTTCCGAGAGGACCCTCTCGGTCCACACCTGCCCGCGGGGTGGGGACAAGGCCAGCCTTGGGAGGAGGAGGAGGGAGTGGAGGTCACGAAGGTCTCTTCCTTCCAATTTTGTCTCCGTCGGATGTGCTGTTGCGCCTGAGTGTGTCCTTTTAGAAGCTTCCTGAGCTTTACTCTCCTATAGGCATCATTTCCCCTATGTGAGGATGCCCTTTTTAAAACCACAGTCCACTTTTCCATCTTTATTGAGGACATCTCTGTTTATATTCTTACCCAGCTTCACTATGTCGTTGTGTTTTGGGTCCAGGTTGTGGACTCAACCTGTGGGACTTAAGTTCTTAACCCATTCCTTACCGAGCATCCATCCACTCAGCATCTGCCTGTTGACCTCTTTGAGTTGAACCCAGCTGCACTGTGTATACCTTGCAAGTTTGAGAGGTTAATATATGAACGCTAAATCCAAGGCAAGGAAGGCATCGATTGATCACGACATTATTATAATGACCGCAGTGCAAGAGACTGTGGAGATACAGTTAAAAAGACCCAGCCCTGACCTTCTTACAGGTTGGTGGGGAGACATGCAGAGACATTATGCTACTTATTGTAATGGAGGTGTTATTATCATAAGAGCAGAGAGGATGAACAGTTACATCTGCATGAGCAAGTCAGAGGGGCTGCTTAGAGCAGAGTTATGATGCCCTTGCAAGAGCAGGTGGTGCTTCTTACAGGAATTTTATGAGTATAGTGCCCGTGTTTCCCCTGTGAAGCCTTCCCTGTGCATTTTAGCATGACGCTTTCATCTTCTTGCCCGTTAAAAAACAAGCAATAGCTCCAATGTGTTACCATTTGTAACCTTAGTTTGCCCTGTTCGAAAACGAGTTTACTTTGTATTTCCAGCAGTGCCAAAACATGATCTTTTTTTTGCTCCTAGTGCTCATCCATTCTTGCCCTTTGAACCCTCCTTAATTTTTTTCTTTCTGTTCCCCCAAAGCTGAAGGAGAATTATTATCCATTGTTTTCACTGAAATACAATTCATCAGCTTAAAAAAAATTTAAAGCAGATTGCTAAATGATTAGCTATATTCCCAGTTTCTTGTTTTGTTTTTTTTTTAAACCCAATGTTTCCCCTGTGACCAATGCCTTTTGTAAAGGAAACTTCCTCCTGTTAAAAACTTGTGGAGAATTGTGTGGGGGTGGGGAATGAGAACCAGGGAAATCAAAATATGAGATGGTTTTGAGTACAAAAGGATCTAGGATCAGAACCTGAAGCATTATTTAAGTAACCAGCAAGAAAGTCAAAATTATTTGAAAAGGCATAATTATGCTAATATAGAAGTGGCTATATCTTAAGATTTTGCAGGCTTCATATGTCAGTAAAGCACTGCTTAAATTCTCTGTATGCACACAACTTGTGTTGTAGGAAAACAATCAGCAAGATAATTAACTTTCCAAAGACCAATGGTGCAGATTGAATATTCTCTTGGAAAAGGCACAGCTGTGGTTTTGTATCAGGTGGTGGTCACTGGAAAGACATGCAGTGTTACTAATGTTTATGAACTTACCTGAGTCGTTGTGTATATAAAGTTATGAGCTTGATCTTCCTTATGTGAGCCAGCTAGCTTCACTTGTTTCAAGGCAAAAGGTCTAATCAAGATGTAATCATTAGGAAAAAAATTTCAAGTATAGTTGGTATTTTGTTAAGGAGGTCAGGCAGAAAACTCATCAGTGCTGGGAAAAAACCATTCAACATGTACCTTAATTGAAAGAGTATTGAGCCTGCCACCCTTGGGTAGAAAAGAAATGATAAACTCTATGATGCATCTTCAATTTTTCAGACAGGCCAGTGATTCATCTACATGGGAGCATCATGAAATGACAGAATTCAACTTCATCTGGCATTTATTAAGAACCTGCCATAAGTAGTACAGTATTCTAAAAGTCACGTTGGCTGTTAATCACGGTTGCAGACCAGGGCACATCTTAGACTATAGATACCTGAAGTCATTCCCACTGGAAAGCAAAAATTGAGGACAAAAGTAGGTTTTAGATGGACATTTATGACTGAAAAGAACCCAAGGCTTGTCACTTTTTGTTTTCTTTCTGGTGCTCTGGGACAGTGATTCTCAAGTTGGGGAGTATGTCAGAATCCACTGATGTCTTAACCCCATCTGCCTACTGAAATTCCATAGGCGTGGGGCTAGGAAATAATGTAATTTTAAACAATCTCCCTAGTTGATTCTGATGTATTCTGAAATTTGAGAATCACCCATCATGTGGTGACTAAAATCTGGGTCTGTGATTTTCTAAAAAAAATTTTGTTCACTTTTCTGAATGTTATGGGTTTCCCCCTCGTTTTTTTTTTTTTGTTGTTGTTGTTGTTGTCAGCAACCTTTCCCCTCGACCTCACAAAAACTCGACTTCAAATACAAGGAGAAGCTGCCCTTGCTCGGTTGGGAGATGGTGCAACAGAGTCTGCTCCCTATAGGGGCATGGTACGCACGGCCCTAGGGATTGTCCAGGAGGAAGGCTTTCTAAAGCTCTGGCAAGGAGTGACACCCGCCATTTACAGACACATAGGTATTTATCTTGATTCTAGTTGGTGAGTTTGTCATGAGTTCTGTTTGTCTCCTGCTTTCCTGTTGAGTTGTGTCCAAAAGCCAACTAGTTTCCTTCTACTAATGTGATAAATGAATATATAATCTCTTAACCACCAATGCTTATTAAGGAATTACAGCCTTAGGGCTTTAGAAATGCATACAAAAGTATTTAGGGATGAACTGTCCCGATGTCATGATATTTTGTAATGCACTCTAAAATAACTGAGGAAAAGAAAAAGCAAGTAAGATGAAAATGTTAGTAATTGATAAATCTCCATGATAGACATAGAGTATTATTTTTCTCTACTTTGCTGTATGCTTGAAAGGTTTCCTAATGAACAGGTTTTTTAAGTTTAAGAAAGAAGAAGATGAATCACTGCAATTTTTATCAACTTGAGGAACTTTTAAACACAAAATAAATTTTTTTTTTACATTCTTTGAAATTGAAGATTATATTTGAATGCAATGCCAGATCTTACCCGTCTCTGTCCCTTGTGTCCAAGGCCAGGTTGATCTGAAAGAGAGCAAGGGTGACTATCTAATCCAACCTTGTCAACAGAGTAAAAGCAACACAGGTGATTTTTGCCTCACTTCCCAGGCTACCTATGTGGGCCATTAGTCACTGTGAAAGGAAAATAGTTGAAATTATAATACTGCCGATGAGAAACTTCTTTGCTGTGCTTCCAGTGGGGCAACCACAGTGATAGAAGTTATTGAATTTCTAGCTGTGGACAGAACATAAACTTGCCTTCAAAAGGAGGAGGGATGGGTATGGCATTTTCCTCCTCTATATATATTCTTAATTATTCCTCAAGTATGTAGGGACCTTTGATCAAAAAAGTGCCCAGTACTAATATTTACCAGCTTTGTATTTTTAAAGCTTCAGTTTTCCAGATGAGCACATTACAGTATATTCACCAGAAAGTGTCCAGAAATACGATTGTTTTGGTACTTTGTATGTTTTTGAATATCCTAAAGTACTGCATCAAACTTCCTGAAATATCAAGAAAAGCTCTCTCTCTCTGAATACCGTGTATTGATTTTCATGATTTTTCTTTCTTATTCTTTTCTTTAACAGCTTCTTCTTGCTTCCTATTATCATTTTGAGTTTCACTTCTTTTCATTTGTATTTTGTTGACCACCATATGTGGTTTATAGTTAAGATTCATCTCATATGTTTGAGACTTGACTGGTAAATTACCTTAACATAGTAAATTATCCAGTGAAGTTGCATGTGTTTATTGAATGAAAATTCCTGCTGTGTCCCAAGCTCTGTACTAGGGTGTAGAGTGTAATGAAAACACGCAAAACTTGCCTTGAAAGGCTCATGGTCTGGTGGAAAGATGAACAAGAAAACCAAGTTAGTTTCTAATCAAGATGACAAATGCTGTGTTAGACACACACCTGGGGAGTTCTGGGGGATCATAGAAGCATGATAGGTATAATGACAGCCTAGAACACTGGAGGCCAGGTCAGAGGGCACTTTCTGGAAAACATGTTCTTTGAGTGGAGTCTTGAAAGAGTAGGAGTTAGCAATAAAGGGATAATCCATTCAAGAAAGATCAGACAACATAGAAGGCCTGAAGCTTTACAAGGCATGCACATTTGGAGAACCATCAAGGCCAGGTGTCAGAAGCCTCGGTTATATGAGAGAAAGACACAGCTAGGGAGATTAGCTAGGCCTCCTCAAAGCATCCTCTTGCTTCATTAAACGTAGGGCTGAATTCATCCTTTCAATGCTCTGTTTTCAGTGTATTCTGGAGGTCGAATGGTCACTTATGAACATCTCCGTGAAGTTGTGTTTGGCAAAAGTGAAGATAAGCATTATCCCCTTTGGTAAGTTTGGTTTTGAAAATAAAACACTGTATTGTACAACACAGGGAATGTTGCCAGTATCTTATAATAACTATAAATAGAGCCTAACCTTTACAAATTGTGAATCACTATATTGTACACCTATAATTTATTTAATATCGTACATCCACTATATTTCAATTTTTATAAAAAGAAAGGAGGAGGAGTCCAGGGACAGAGTCTCTTCAAAGAGAGGAATGTTTTCAAAACCCTTCCATTTCGGAAAATTACTAAAACAGTAACCTATAAAACTTGGCTTACCAGCCTTTGTTAGATTGACTACATCAATGCTGTTTTTATTCCCCTGTGGTCAGAATTAAACTGCAGTTAAATTATATCTTTGAAGCAACTGTCCTTCCTTTGAATTTCAGACCATTAAAGGCCTTCAGATTTGAATTTTGACTCCTGGTCCCTGAACCCTCCCATCAATAAACAAACCATCTACTCTCCTCTGTGATTTGTGTGGGTTTATTTTTTGCTTCACTTTGTCTTAAATCTCTTATGCCGGGGCTGTGCCAGCATGGTATTGTTTCCCACAAAATGTGTGAAATTGATAACAACCTTTAGAAAAATGCATTTCCTTTTATAATTAGGAAATCAGTGATTGGAGGGATGATGGCTGGTGTTGTTGGCCAGTTTTTAGCCAACCCAACTGACCTAGTGAAGGTTCAAATGCAAATGGAAGGAAAAAGGAAACTTGAAGGAAAACCACCGCGGTAGGTCCTCCGCTGACAGGTACCTTTCCTTTCCCCTTTGATCTCTGAATATTTGGACCCCAACATTCAGTAAAGGCATTCATTGTGACTCCTAATTTGGAAGTGATATTCAGTAAGAGGAGACCGGAGGTGGACCTTTTCTTTACCTGGTATGGTATACCTGTTGTTTACCAGACAGACTGTACACGTGCATCATTCTTTGCTGCTTTCCCAGCTAAGGCAGCCAGACTTGTCCCCTGCTGCCATTTGATAGAAAGAATCTGACCATGAACAGTTGCCCTGGTGTGAATTCCAATTCTGCCATCGTGGCTTGGCCTTCTGGAAGTCCCTTAATGTTTCTAGTCTCTCTTTCTTCATCTTTAAGAGACACTATCTGAGATGGTTTCCGTGACAGAGGGTCTGGCTCATCAGGTGCCAGAAAGCCTGTTTTCTTTTCCTTTCCCTCTGAAGGAAGGGAAATAGCAAGGTAAACCTTACGAGTTGTTTTACTTCCCTGTCTAATTTCTCTCTGCCTCTTTTCCCAAGTGTAAGGAAGTTTTCTTTTCTTTTTTTTTTTACTTCAATATTACTATACTGTTGTGATATAAAATCCTCCTGTTGCACTACCCTTAATTGTCAAAAATCTGCCTTTTCTCAAAGGGCCTCTCAATCAAGTTTATTCAGATACCAGTTAGGCAGTTTCTTCTGGAAAAGGGGCACATCTTACAGACAGACAGATAACCCTCTGCCAGGAAACAGAGAAAGCGTGGGATGTCCTGAGCTGAGCGTGCAGGGGTCTGCTCCTCTGGAAACCATGGGTGTGCGGCTGAGCCAGAGGCGGAGGAGGGTTGGGGTCTCCTCTGGTGGCTTCCCACGACCGCTGCCCTCTGCCCTGCTGCCCCTCCAGCCGACTCAGTGCAAAGTGAGGGTGGGCTGTGGCAGTCCAGGCCCCCTTCCCAGCAGGGACCTACGTAACGTGGACCGGGGAGGAGAAAAGGGTGCCACTCTGACTTAACTGTGTAGTTCACAGCATCCCAGGGCCCGTTTTGTCACCTCGTAACAACTTCTGATTACTCTGGAGCAGGGCAAATGGTGTTGCCTTGGTTGGCTACGTGGAGAAAAGGAACTGTTGGGGTCCAGAAATGTCTGAGTTTTCACTGATCACCTCAATATTTTTCCTTCTCTTTGTCTCTCATGTTAGACATTTTGGGTTTGATATAATAATTAAAAAAAAAATGTTTTAAAGAACATGAACCTTGGGATCAAGCAACCTGGGATTCAAATCCAGCCTTTACCACATTTTAGCTGTATAACCCTAGTCAAGTTCTTAACTTCCCTAAGCCTCAGTTTCTTCATTCAGATGAGAATTAGAATAATAACATACTCCATAGAGTTTTTAGAAATAAAATATATCATATATATATATATATAAACAAGCCTGGTGCTTAATAAGTACATTAATAAGTAAATCCTATTAATAAATAAATTCTAGCTACAGTGACCATTATTCGTGAGTGTTCTTCTTATGTAGCAGAATAGCAATTATGAATGCCCAGTAAATAGATCATATCATCTTTTTGGTGAGACTCAGAGAGTTTAATACCTGAGTAAAGCCATACAACTTATAAGTGATAAGGTGGTATTTGACACCAGGTATTTCTGGCTGTATACAACTCAGGTTTTTATTTTATATCAGAGGTCTCCAGCTTTGGTTCATTAGCACCATTTTCATCTGTGTATAGAAAAATGTGCAAAATAAGGAAAAGATAAATTTTAATAAATCTAAAAGTATTCAGTTTTAAGAACTCTTCTGAAATTCTCCTTCCTAACTTTTGGTCTAAAATATCATTTCTTTCATGAAGTGACATGAGAATTAATCTGTTAATGTTTTCATTTGATAAAATTAAAAAATTTGAAGGTCTCCCATAATATGAGGAAAATGAACTTAGAAGTCTGATAGACACTGTTCCCTCCTATAATTAGTATGTGCACAGATGATGTAAAATGTCAGGGAAGGAGTTTTAATCTATTTAATAATCTGAGAAGAGGATGGATGTTAGAGTTTATAAAGATTTCCATAAAAATGTTTAAATCAAAAATTGGCCTTTTTTCTAAAGAACTATTAAGTTTATCTGGGAATCAGACTTACATGGGTTGCTTTAATTTTTAACAATTCTAGATAATTAAGATATTATTGTAGTACAAATCATAATAGCTATAGCCAAATCATAACAGTTATGATGAAGCTTATGCAGTTGCATCCCATACACAGGAATGCCTAGAGTTTTCACATTTATTATTATTTCCCTTTAGATTTCGTGGTGTGCATCATGCATTTGCAAAAATCTTAGCTGAAGGAGGAATACGTGGGCTTTGGGCAGGCTGGGTACCCAATATACAAAGAGCAGCGCTGGTGAATATGGGAGGTAATGGAAACTTTATTGAATTCTGAGAAGTCCTAATCACCTTAATCATTTTAACTATAAGCACTTACATTGGGGAAAATAAGAATTTTTATTTTATTATTTTTAATAATATGTACTGGCAACAGTCTTATTTTATGTTTGTAATGTTGTAATTGAATATTTTCCCTAGAGTGGTTTCACTACAATGATGTATGAAAAGGATTTCCTAAAACTAGCAACTTGTGACAGTAAGGAGATAATACCGAACCATTACTAAGGGTTCCTCCCCACCCCATACCTTCCTCTAAGATTCAAACTGGGATATATACCACATGTGATGGCCATTACATCTAAACTACAGATCTTTCCCCCCAGTAATCCTGCTCCTCTTGCTATAGAATCCATCTTGTACAGCTGGACACCTCAGACTGGAAACCTGAATGTTCCCTTAACTCATTCCCATTTCTCACTTCCCACAGTCAGTCACTGATTTCTTCAGTCTTCTAAATATTTCTTAAATGTTCCCCCCTCCAGCCTTACGCTAAGTGAAATCAGTCAGTCAGAGAAAGACAAGGACCAGATGATCTCACTTCAGGTGGGATCTACAAAACAAAACAAAACAAAACAAAACAAAACAAAACGGAAACAGACTCCTGGATACAGAGAACAAATGAGTGGTTGCTCAAGGGGAGAGGAGTAGAGAACCAAAGTAACTGCAACGGATTAAGAGGTGCAACTGAGCGACTTCACTTTCACTTTTCACTTTCCACTTTCCACTTTCATGCATTGGAGAAGGCAGTGGCAACCCACTCCAGTGTTCTTGCCTGAAGAATCCCAGGGATGGGGGAGCCTGGTGGGCTGCCGTCTATGGGGTTGCACAGAGTCGGACATGACTGAAGTGATTTAGCAGCAGCAGCAAGAGGTACAAACCTCCAGTTATAAAAATGAGCCATGGGGATGTCATGTACAACATAAGCAATTATTCCAGTAATATTGCAGTACCTTTCTACGAGGACCAGTGGTTACTAGGCATGTTGTCATGGTGACCTTTTTATAATGTATGCACCTGTCAAATCACTGTGTAGTACACCTACATAATATTGTACATCAACTGTGTTTCACTGAAAAGAAAAAGGTTCCCCCATCTAGTAACTACTACCTTAGTATCCTTACAATGACCATTTTTACAGTAGTAACCATCAAAAGACAACTAGACCACTGCCACAGCATCTACCTGATCTCTTCCCCTGCCCTCAAATTCGGACCCAATATCCAGAGAGCTTTATTGAAAATACAGATCTCAACATGTTATTGGTATCCCTGCAACCCCTAACTGGCTTCTCATCGCTCACAGAATAAAGTGGAAATTTCATAACACAGAAGATCTGCATAAATCAACCTGTACCTTCTGGATTTGAGCAATTCATTGATTCTGGAGCACATAGTTAAGCAGAGTCATAAGTGAAAAGGTTCCACTGCCTACACACACCAAACTGGCTCAGCGTCTGTACTATCTGTCCTCTTCCCTCTTCTCTATTTAGTTACTTCTGCAGATCTTTTCATATGTGGCTAAGGTGTCTTCACCATCATGTGCTTACTTGAACCTCCCACAACCACCCCTCCCAGGTCATGGTGTGTTGGATGTGTTTCCGTAGTTCTCTGTGCTTAGCTCTATTGCTGTTTTTACCTCATTTCATTGCTTTCTTCCATGTGTCTATCTCCTCCCCCTGGATATTGAGCCCCCTGAAGGCATGGACTGTATTTTATTCATCTTTATTTTCCTAGCCCCTCTTACCTTTCCCAGTCCTTCTTACATAATCAACACATGTTTAATAAATGAATCAATGGATGAAAGACTCCTTTCTAAGACCAAAATTATATGATTCTAAGAAACTGATAAATAGCAGTTTGGAGAGTTATAGTAACATACCACTTAAACATCAAAGGAAGTCAGTCTATTTTATATTTTGCTGTTTCAGTCCATTGATGTCTCCTGCATCATATTAGTAGATACTCTGGTTTTCAGAAAACCTTTCAGATTTTCATTTCTCAGTGGATTGCTTCAATATCTTTGCAGCCCAGAGTTCTCTTCCAAGTTCTAGCTATCTACTCAGCATCTTCATTTGGTATCTCAAATACATATTACTTTGAATGTGTCCAGACCAAATCATTGGCTGAATCACTTCCTTCTCCATTCTTCCCAGTCTCAAAATATGATATCATCATATTTTTATGATGGTTTTTTAGTTGAATGACCCAGAAACCTAGGCATGATTTTGATCTCTTTGCTTTCACTTACTGCTTACAGCCAACCTTCAGTCACCAAATCCAGCCAGTTGTGTCTCCCAGAGAGATCTCAAGCTCACCCACTTCTTTTCATCCCTGGAGCTGCACCCTGGTCCAGAGTACCACTAATCCGCTCCTCCTGCACCACTATAAATACCTTCTAACTGGCCCCCCACACACATACACACCTCCATCCCACAGCCATTCTGCCGACTGCGCCTGAAATTGTTCTCATCAGGATCGCCGGTGCCGGTCATCTTATTTTAAAACATCTAAATAAGCCCATTCTCATTTTCACATCACTGTAAGTGGCAGCTCTGTCCTTCCAGTTGTTCAGGCTCAAAGCCTTGTTGTCATCTTCGCTTCCTTTCTTTCCCTCCATATTTAGTCTGCTGGCTGATCTCTTGATTCTGTCTTCAAAACACCCAGAATCTGACCAGTGCTCCACACCCCAGTATCCAAGCCACCACGCTTTCTTACCAGAAGAACTGCAGTAGTGTCGTATCTAATGTGCTTTGTCTCCCGATAGTCTGAGTAGACTGTCACAGTGATCTTGTAAATACTAGCCCAGGTCAGCCACTCCTCTGCCCCAGACCCTCCCCTTCTCCGACTCTTGCCTCCTCTGCTCCTGTTAAGCCAGTGTTCTTGCCGTTCCTCTAACATACGAAGCTGACTTTTGCCTTTTTGACCTACTGTGGTTCTGCCTAGGACACTTTCTCATAGATTTCTCCAAAGTTTACTTCCTCAAGCTCCCTGAAGGTCTCCACTCAAATATTATTTTGAGGTCATCTCCAGCTGTTTTATTTAAAATTCACACGCACCATCCTTCCCCACCCTCGCACCCTCGCCTGATTTTCCTGCCTGATTTGTCTTCAGAGCAGTTACTGCCATCCGAAATGCCACGTGGCTTACTTACTTGTTTATTGTCTCCTCCTTCAACAAAGAATGGCGATTTTGTTCATTTTTGTCCATGGCTCTTTCCCCAGTGCGTAGAATAATGCCCACCACATGGTACGCTCTCAGATGTCCGGTGAATGATCAAAAATATCCACCCATTCTTAGCTCTTTACAGTTCACTTCCCTATACTTTGGTGTAGGTAATCTTTATAAAATTCCATGACTGTGATCTAGCCCTCCCCTGTTTAAAACCTTTCAACAGCTCTTCATTGTCATTAGAAAAAAAAGTATAAAAAGCTTAATGCAGAATAATGGCCAGGTGATAGAATCTCAGTTCCGCCTAGCTTAGGCTAAAAAAGGAATTCATGAGCTCCAGCACTGAAAAGTGCAGGGGTTGAGCTGGCTCTGAGCAAAGCTGGATTCAGATGTTCAAATGATATAATTGAGTGTCTGTCTCTCTTCCTTTTTTCCTCCCCCTCCCTCTGTTGCTCTGCTTTTCTCTGCTTGAGAACAAGAATGGGATCTTTATCTTTGTATACATTCTTGCCCCACGCTTAGCACATTCTTGACACAGAAGACATTCATTGTTGAGTGAATGACATTTAAACTTTCTTTCTCTATGCATTGCCAGATTTAACCACTTACGACACAGTAAAACACTACTTGGTATTGAATACACCACTTGAGGACAATATCACGACTCATGGCTTATCAAGGTAAGACTTTTAATTTCTCCTTCTATTTTTTCCTATCTCATTCTTCCATATTTGGCATAAATTCTAACTTTTATCTCTTCTGATTGGGAACCTAGTGATAACAGCCTTAAAGAAAGGTGATAGTACCTTTATAAAGAGCAATTTTCTTAAAGTGTGTTGCAGTTAAAATGTGGAAGAGAGGGGCAGAATGTTTCAGGTTAAATTTCCCCAAATATTTGCACTTTGGTAGGGCTATCCCAGGGTGAGATTCTGACAGTTGATTATCCAGCTCAATTCAGTGGGTATGTTTGAGCATCATTTGCATTAAAGACACTGTGCAAGGCCCTGTAGTAGATACAAAAAGTAAACCACACTGCTTCCCAGGGAGTTTTCCAAGGGGAAAAACAAAACAAGTATAAAAACACTGCACAGTAAGTGCTAAAAGAAAGGGACTAGTTACTGTAGAGTTGGGCAGGGGGGAGGGAAGGGAGAAAAAAAATAACCACTTAGAAGGGCCCATAAAGGGGATAGAATTAGATAAGTGTTTTGAAGGGCTGTGGCTCTTGATGGATAGAGACATGATAAAGAAGTGCTTCCTAGGAGGAGAAACAGCTTAAATTCTTTGCAACACAAGTTCAGATTATCCATTAGGATGAGTTACTTTATAGATGTTGAGTGGCCTTATGATTCTGTTTAGCTTCTGATCTTGTTTCCAAATTCTAGAACCCTTAATGCTATTTAGACAACCCCAGAACTGTATGAGAGGGCTTCCTAGGTGGCACAGTGGTAAAGAATCTGCCTGCGAAGGCAGGAGACTTAAGAGACATGGGTGTGATCCCAGGGTCGGGAAGATCCCCTAGAGAAGGAAATGGCAACCCACTCCAGTATTCTTCCTGGGAAAATTCCGTGGACAGAGGAGCTTGGTGGGTTACAGTCCATGGAGTCGCAAGTAGTCAGACAGAACTGAGCGATTCAGCATGCACGCACACAAAACTGTGTAAGTAGTGCCAAGTTGATGATATTTAGAGATACAGACATAGATAGAAATGATTCTTAATTTTAGGTTCCCTTTAACTTTATATTCTTATTGTAGTTTTTCTTCATTCGTCTTCTTAAAATAAGTGTTATTGTTCATGCTGCTAGGGCAATCATTCTGTCTTTGCTCACCTTTCATATTCCAAAATCTCATCCAGGTGTGTTCACAAGCAGTAACATATTTTCTGCAGCGTAACATATTTTCTGCAACCAACAGCCCAACTGCCTCTTTCAGAGCAAACAGGACTTGGGGCCTCCATCCTATAAACATATGTATCGTATCTGTACCCAACCTGACATTCCCTTCACTGTCTCCATTTTATGCAGTTCTCTCTGCTTGTGAGACTTTCTTCCCCAATTCTTCCTTGTCAAGTCATTCTGTGAAATAGTCTCAACTTTCAAGGGACTTGTCTGTTCCAGTGTTACCATCTGTTCTGAGAGCAGGATGTTCAGTTCTAACAGCTCCACAGTGATGTTACCTCTGTTACTTTTTCATTGTCTTTACCCAAATGGTCTTTGAAATACCACCTCTTTAACCTAAGATTCAGGGATTTCCCAGCAGGTGTAAATCTGCCTAATGGACATGACTCCACTTAATGGATCTGTCTTTTTTTGGAAAGACGTAAGATTTCCCATAGCTATATTCCAGCCCTAACTGAAATAAGTTTATCTTATTGTTCTCTAATTCAGGTTTTGCAAATGATTGAGATCATTGGGTGCTGAGATGATTGGTACTTGGTTCATTCTTGGCCCTACCCACTGGATCAGGTCTTTAAATGGGATCAGGGGGAGTATGTGTGGTCCGTGAGGCAGCTCAAAAGGTGCTGTCCATGAACTCACAGCTGGCTAGGTAAACAGTGCTATGTAATCTAGAAGTTCTGGACGCTGCATCACAGGGTAGAATGAGTGCTCACCGAGGTTGAAAGAGGGTTGCAGTGGTGCAATCGAGAGATTTATAGGAGCCATCAACATCCGAGGGAAGGGAGTTTGATATGAAGAAGAGTGAAAATAGTGCAGGCACTGAACTGGGTGCTTCAGAATGGCTAAGAAGGGTAAACTGTATGTTATATGTGTTCTACCATAATTAAAAACAATGGTGTATGTGCTCACTTGAGCAGCACATATACTAAAAACAATAGTGTAAGTATGCTGAAGTTCTAGGGCAGGGAAGGAGCAGTAGAAAACGTGTGGCTAGGATTTTAGGGAGATGGGGAGGCAGGTGGCAAGTTATGTTATTATAGGAGGAAGTAGAAAGGAAATTATACAGAACGGGAAAACCAGAAGAGTCCCCCTTTTCCCTCTTTTTAAATCATGAGGCTGCTGAGGGGTGAAACTGGGCAAAAGATTAGCTTACAGTGTATGAAGATCATACGCGAGCATGGTTCTTTAGTTGATGTGGAAGAGGATTATTCATCCTGAAACCATGCTTATGGACTAATACAGACTAGCCTTGCACAGAGCCATCTGGTCTCCTGGAGAGAACAGAAGACATACCCAGTCATTCTCTGTCTATCATCACTTAAGACACATTCTGGGCTTCGCTTTGTGGGTATTACTGGCAAGGAGTGATAAAGGTCAATAGCAGAAAGTAGCCATGTTCCTGTCAAGTATCCAGGCAAAATTGATGTAACTTTTACGGCTCTGTCTTCTCACTTTGACTCTAGATTCCATCTTACCTGAGGCCTCCTTAATGCAGGATTTGTTCTCTTAATATTTAAAGGAGCCTAGCCAGATCACATTACGTCCTGCAAACGATTTGATAAGAGGAGGATGAGGCAGGCCACTGGCAGCTGGCCCCCAAGGTGTCTGTGTGCCAAACAGGCCCACAGTTGCCAAAGGGGATCCTTGATGTGGTTATTATACAGGTAAAAAAAATCCTTTAATAAGTACACTAATTAACGACTACTAATGATTGAGGGCTGCCTTTCTTTTAAAAGTAGAATATATTAATAATATTAACACTCTGGTAGAAGTAGTTTCCACTCTTGAAACATATGTATAGCTGAGCCGGCCCCCAGCCTCTCTGAAGCAAGTAAAAATGTAGTGTTTCTTTCCAGTCTTTTGAGCCAAAAAGGGGAAATTGTGTATAGTTTTCTGTCTTCTTTGTTTTACTCACCTCTTGACTGGTCTTGCAAGCTGTTTCTAGTAGACTTAAGTTTTAGAACTTAGGTGAATTTTGTAATTGGTTGCCTGTTTCTATGTAAAAATATGAAGGTATATTAAAATGAGGGCTTCCCTCATAGCTCAGTGGGTAAAGAATCCGCCTGCAATGCAGGAGATCCCGGTTTGATTCCTGGGTCAGGAAGATCTGCTGGAGAAGGGATAGGCTACCCACTGCAGTATTCTTGGGCTTCCCTTGTGGCTCAGCTGGTAAAGAATCCGCCTGCAACGCGGGAGACTTGGGTTCGATCCCTGGGTTGAGAAGATCCCCTGGAGAAGGGAATGGCTACCCACTCCGGTATTCTGGCCTGGAGAATTCTGATGTTAAATCTTGACTTTCAGAGGATCTGAACAAATAGGAAAGAATGTAGAAAGAACAGCAGTCTACACCTCCCGGGATATAGATGGTGAAGCAGTAAGTTCTTTCCACGTAGGCAGTGCCTGTCGTGTGAACAGAGACCCAAGAAAAGTTACATGCAGTCAGGTCACTTGCTAGAAAATGAAAATAGGTTATATGGGTTCTTTCTCTTGAATTCAAGTATTCCTGAAGTGTGTTTCTCCTTTGAATGATCAATCCTGATCTAAAGACTCACAAAGAACATGGGTGCTTGCTGCTCCAGCAGTTCAAAATAAGAGAGTGTGAAGATTCCTAATGCAATTTCAACCTCCGCACCACAGAGCCTTCAGAAACTTCAAAGGCCTTGCCTGGCCTGAAAGTCAGCTGTCCTTATCTCTGGGAGACACTTGATGTTCCGGGAAGAGATAAAAGTTGTCCACAGTTTTCCTTTCTAGCTTTCCATTAGCCCAAGATAAGATACTCTTCCCACCCCCCTGATTCCCGTCTCTGGACTCAGCTGCCAACTTCTGGGTCTCGGGCCTTCATTTTGCCTGATTCAGGATGATCACCCATCTTCTCGTCATCTGTGTCTCTCTTGGAAAAGTTTACAGCAGTTAATGGCTTCTCGGGTTATGGGATGTCGATCATATTCCTGTATTGCCTCTCTCATGCCCACATACATAATGAACTTCTGGTGGCCTCTGAACTGTTTAGTCACTCATTTAAAAGAATCTTGATTTATGCAGTAGGTTGGCCATATCCATTTTGTCTGTCTTGAATAACTGACCAGGAGCCTTTTTCAAAAGGGAGTGATTATGTGAGTCCCCCACTTTAAGACCCTTTCCCCTTGCATTGAAAATAAAACTTTAGCCTTCTCTGCCCACATCTTTAGTCTCTGATCTGGCTGGCGAGAAGGAACCATCTCTGTCAAGGTCTGCTCTCACCCAAGAGCCTTTCCGTGCCTGCCTCTCACCTGGTTAATCCCTATCATGTGATCTCATTTCATTTTCATTTCCCACAGCACTAACCGTACCTGAAATTATTCATTTCTCCTCTGCCTCTCCCCAGTTAAGTACCTTGAGGACAGGATCTTATTTGTCTTGTTCACTGCCTGGAAGAGTGCCTGCCTCCAGCAGATGTTCAGTGTATATCTGTTGACCAGACATTGTTTTAATTTTTTTTTAACTCTTGAATGAATGAATTTATCATTGATTTTTAAGCTAAAAGAGCATTAGTATGAAGAATATTATTGGATTAGATTTAGTATTCCATTCTTTCCAAATATCAAATCCCCCTTAAAATTTGGAAGCTGATGCATATTACCTTTCAATTTCATTTATCTACAGTTTATGTTCTGGACTAGTAGCTTCTATTCTGGGAACACCTGCTGATGTCATCAAAAGCCGAATAATGAATCAGCCACGAGATAAACAAGGAAGGTAGATAGAAAGTCTTAGTCTCTGTGTATCTGAATGTCTATAATAACAACGTTCTTTAAAGACTCTTCCTTGTATATATTCTTGCTGGAAATGTATTTTTCTGTTTACGTGCGTTTAACCAGGACATTGTTTTTATGCAATTACCTGCTTTGTGTCTGATGGAAAAGTACTGTGCATTTGAGGAAATAAGCTAATTTAACCATCATATTGTTTAGACACAAGGTGTTTATTGTGACTTTGTTGTTTTCATAGAGTTTTTGAAAATATACTTTGTTAAGAATTTACAGGGCATTTTTTCAGAAGCTCATGACTTGCGAGTAACATGGGTAATTTAATTGGCTATAAAACAGTATGTTCTCTCTGAAGAGACTAGATGGAGTGAATTCTAAGTTATCAGACCAAGGGTGGGGTGAATTCCAAGAGTCAACCTTGAAAAATATCTTTAAACTCAAAAGAGATGTCCTATGTATACAGAAGCACAAATATTATTTGTTCTAACCTAGCAGAAGATAGTTAAATAAGTTTTCCTATTTTTAAATTTTATTTATATATCTATTTACATGTAAGAAATTTAACAAAATTGTCTTCTTTCCTTTTTAGGGGCCTCCTGTATAAATCATCTACTGACTGCTTGATTCAGGCTGTTCAAGGAGAAGGATTCCTAAGTCTCTATAAAGGGTTTTTACCATCTTGGCTTCGAATGGTAATGTTAGGTTTTTCCTGCCTTTGTTTTTGTTTTCATTGTACTTAAATTACTTTTCATCTATAAATATTTTCCCTTTTCACTTCTGGCTTCTGGCATGGTTCTGCCCCGAAATCATGGTTCTTTTTTTCTTTTCTCTTTTTGTTTTCTTATACCTCCACCCCCCTTGGTAGATTAAGGTAAAATAATTCAGTTACATCAGAAATGAATAGGTTGATAGTCTGATATTATAAAGCCAGTGGATAGATTGTTCTGAAATGTAAAGACTTTCTATTTAGCCAAAATATTACAGTTTGAGACAGGTATACAGATTTCATACTAGAGACGATTGTTATGAAAATGTCACTATTTCAAACAAAATAGTTACTTTGATATTGGATTATCCATTGTGGCTCAGCAGTAAAGAATTCACCTGCAATGTAGGAGATCACCTGCAATAGAGGAGACATGGGTTCAACCCTGGGTCAGGACGATCCCCAGTATTCTTGCCTGGAGAAGCCCATGGACAGAGGTGCCTGGCAGGCTTCAATCCATATGGGGTAGCAAGAGTCAGACATGACATAGTTACTAAACCTACCACCCATTAATACCTATCACCACAAAGCTCTGCTTAGGAAGAAGACATCATATCATTTTCATTTGGTTTGGATACTGTTTTTTACTAAAGTGAATTAGCATGTAGAATTAGATAGACTTATCTAAGTAACATAACAAATACAATAAAAACAAGGTGCTCGAGTATTTTTTGAGTTAGAATATATTTGAAAAAATAGGAGTTACAAGTTTAGAAATTCAATCAATGCTTTACACAGTATAGTATAATAATATGAATTGAGCACCTGTTCCATACAAAGTCCTGACTCAGTGCCCGACTTTAGGAGGAACCCAATAGCCTCAGTCTGCTCCAGTGCTAGAGCTTCCAGTCTAGGTCAAGACAAACCCTGAGTGAAGAGTTGGGAAGGGGCAGGGTGCAGGGTCATGGTGCTTTCAGAACAGACAGCAAGTAAGGACCGCCTAAACTAGGAGGTTAAGTAAACCTCATTGGAGACTGGATTTCTCATTGAGATTTGAAGAATGAGTGGGACTTAACCAGGTTAAAAGGCAAGAACTGGGTGTAGGAACTAGCTGGAGTGGACAAAGGACACGATGCAGTCAGAGAACTGAAGGAAAGCCAGCTGGCCAAGGCATGGAGATGTGGAGGAGAGAAGCCCAGGGTGAGGCCAGAAGGAAGCAGGGATGGGATTGGGACGGGCCGTAGGACCCATGAGAGTGAGGGGCATTGGCCTGATGACGTGTGCTCTTAAGAAGATCATTCTGGCTGCTGTGTGGTTTGAGGAAAGACCAGGAGTTGTGACAGATGACAGATAATGATAACTCAGACTAGAATATGACAATGAGGACAGAAGAAGATAGATTTAAAAAAAAAAAAAAAAAAAGGAGGGGGGTTGGATAGAAAGGAGATAAGAAAGAACACAACCGGATGGAGATGGGGAAATGGTTGGAGAAGGCAAAGAAAAATTGAGCTTCATTCCCAGATTCCTGCCCTGAGCAACCAATGATGTGATTTCCTAATATGGGATCATTTGCAGGGAAGAAGATTTCGTGGTAGAATCTCAAGTTTAGTTTAGAAATGTTAAGTTTTGGATAGTCATAGGACATCTAAGAAGAGATATCTAGATGACTAGCTTCATATATTGGCCTGGATCTTGGAATCATGAGGATAGAGATTTAGACCTGAGCACCGTCTACACACAGATAATAACTGAAGCACTGGGGATAAATGACATCACCAAGGGTAGTAGGTATCCATCTATTAACATGAAACTAACAGCCAAAGTCCTTGGCAATATCTGATAAAAAAAAAAAGCACACCTAAGCTGTAAAAGATTATTTTCATTGTCTTGGTTATACTTTGAAGTTATCTCAAATCTATGGATATTTAATGGAAAGGAAGATTTTGACTTGGCCTGCATAAACCAGGTCCTATTATAAGTGCTGGTAACACCAAGGAATAAGATGTGTGTTTTTTTGCTCTCAAGGAGCATACAATGTGATGGGAGAAGATAGACACATAAGTAGTTAAAATTACAGAGATTATAAAGCTAAGATTATGAAGTCACTTGCTATATGGCCAGTGCTGTGCTAATCATATTCATGGCTTAACTCATTGAGTTCTCCCAACAGTCTATTTAGAAGGTTACTATCATATATTTCATTTATAGAGGAGAAAACTAAAGCGAAGTGTCTAAATAACTTGGCCAGGCTAGGTGGTTATTAACTACTGGCATCAGGGGCTCAAACCCAGGCAGTCTGGCTTCAGAGGACAGATATTCTAAAGAGGTTGCCAGTGCTGTGAACAAAACATGGAAACACACATAGTGGAGTAAAATGGCTTGAACTCTTTGGGAATTCCCAAAAGGCTTCCCAGAGGTGATCCCTGATCTGAGCTTTGAAGAATCAGTAGGTGTTTGTCAAGAAAACCATGAGGAAGCAACATAAGCAAGTCACGGGTGACTCCAAAATGTCTGGTGAACTGCAGAAAATTCTGTGTGATTAGACTGTAGGTCCTCAGAGGGCAGGTGATGGAAGAGAACACAGAAGAGCATTTAGGCATTAGCATGTAGGCTGAGAAGGACCTTGGGGAACCAATTCAGTAGTTGAGGTGAAACTGAAGTAGCAAGCACCCGTTGAATATGGGAGCCATGTGCTAATGTTTGCTTGGGGACAAGTCTACTGTGGCAGCAATGTCGAAGCTGTTGTGAAAGTTAGAATGCAAGAAGGGAAGTTTTGGTGATGGTGTAGCCAGGAGATGATTGTAGATATGGAGAGAGGTGGATTTCACGAACATTTGTCTTTGACTCCACAGGACTTAGTAACTGATCAGACAGAGAAAGGGAAGGAGGGAGAGAAGGGAAATGAGACTTTGATGTTTCTGGTGGGGAAGACCATGAGGATGGGTGAGACCAGGGGTGAAAAACGAAGCCAAGAGGTGAGGGAGAACATCCCAGGACAAAGGAGCGCTGAGACCACTTTATCTGACCCATTGTCTTTGTAACATCAGACTCAGGAAGTGTAAATGACCTCAGAATGAATACCTAATGTATGACAAGCTTTGTGCTAAGCTCTTTACACACATAATTTTTTTTAAGTCTTACAAGAACCTAACATTACAGGTAGTGTGATCCTCATTTTTCAGATGAGAAAAACACAGCTCAAAGTATAAGAAACTCACTCAAGTTCATGTAGCTAGTATATGGCCAAGCGGGGAATCCACTGCAGAGTTGTTCAACTCTAACTAAACCCACGGTCCTAACTAAGATGGTATACCGAGTATCTCAAGGTCCTGCAGCTCATTATGAAAGTTTTAAAAAGAGACAGGGTGTGGTGATGAAGAGAGGTTACCGGGGACAGGCTGGCTAACCACCCAGGATCACCAGGGTGGTGTGGCTTTGTTGATTTGCCACAGCGCTGGACCTGAGCGTAGAAGCCTGTTGACTCACGAGCACTTCCAAGTAAATCAGCCTTTGCACATACAACTGCCCTTCAGCCAAACTCACTGAAACCGATGAGTGGACCACAGCATTGGCTCATTCACACTGAGAAATACATCTGGCCCGTGGTCTCAATGCTGAAGTCCTCTGGATGGGTAAATTCAAACTATAGGGGAGCCAAGTCATAATCACAAGGTTGCCTGCTGAACACAGAATAATAATAACAGGAAGAGCTTATCTGTAAACTTAATATTGAAAAAGATCAACCCAAGAGTCCCTGTGTGTTCAACCACACAGTAAAAAGCATGGAGAAAAAAAATTTTTTTTTCCAGTAGTTATGATAACATGGTGTCTATACACTTGGATTCTTTTCAGTGGTACAACTATGCCAGTGAGGCAAAAACCAGTAAAAGAATGTACTGGCCATATGCCCTTCTGCAGAGGCTCAGGATATCCAGTCTATATCCTGTACATGCTATTTGGCTCTCCCTCTTTAACTGCTCTTCAAAACCCAGCTAAACCTAATCCCAGCTCCTTACTCTAGTTAGAGATAGCATGCCCTCACTTTGCTCAATCCCTGATTAATATTTCTTTCCTTCGCATATAGTTTGGTTGCTATGAGGAAGAAGTCTGATAACCAGAGCCATCAGGAATGACTGCCTAGTCCATTCTTAACTGAGACCTCTGCTTCTAGATCCAACTGCAGTCACATCCTTGGCTCACTTCATTTTTATTGTCACAAGACTGTGGTGTCGTCTTAGCTTCTTTGTCTATGTCTTCATACACTTAATTGACCAAAGATGTATTCTCCTAAATCCACTAGTGAGTTCTCAGTCTACTAGTATAACTTGCTCAACATTTCTAAACATGTATGACATAAATGCTGCTTTATAAATGCTCTAAGCAAATACATTTTTCATTCTAATTGCTTAAGTTTATTTCTCTATACTCTAGTGTGATTAGGGTTTCTCTCTGATCAGTATTACCCGTAACTTAGGAACCAAACCAGATAAGAACTGGATCCAAGACATACTTTCTCTGATGATTACTTCCAGTGTTTCTTCTGTGATCTCCCATCTGTCTTTAGCATTTTTATCTTCTGTTATTGATTAACCCTCATCCCCTTATAATTCCTTTTGGTACAGTGACACCTTCATATCCAGTTCTTTCTGAGGTGAGAGCACTTTTCTCCACTTCATGTGCATTTTTATGTCCATCATGTGATATACCATTTATGATCGAACTCTCAAAGGATCATCTTTCATCTCTACTTTCAAGTTCTTCAGGGCTTCCTTGTTATGCTCCATACATTACACAAACTACATGTAGACGAAAAGAGCCCAGCCTAGAATTCAGGCATGCCGAGTCCTAGCCTTTTATCCAGTAGTGGTCAGTAAAAGGAACCCTGGAATGGAAGTCAGAAGCCCAAGGTCCACCTCCACCATGCTGGCAGGCATCTGATTGCTAAGCCTTAGTGTCCTCATCTGTAAAACAGGGGTATCAATACCTTTCCTTTCCATTATACATTGTTTGGAGAAATCTGTGAAAAATAAGACATGAAAATGCTTGTAAATGATAAGCTGCTCTAGAAAGGTGAAATGCCAAAATCTTTGTTTTCAGCCTAAGTGGATTCAAAATGAGTTCATCATTCAAAGATGTGTATGCGTATGTGTAGAAGATTTATAATTGCTTTGAAATATGCACTAACTTCTTTGGTTAATCTTTCAGACCCCTTGGTCACTGGTGTTCTGGCTTACTTATGAAAAAATCAGAGAGATGAGTGGAGTCAGTCCATTTTAAGCCCTTAAAGATACAGTGTCAGTATCACTGAAATGCGGGCATCTGCAACACACACCCCCTATTATTTCTACCTCTTTAGGAAGACACCTTACTCCACAGAGACTGTGATTTATAGGGGGCAGCACTTTATTTTTACCTGGAAACCCAAGTTCTCTTTGACTCCTCTTTTTGTTCACAAGCAATCTGATTGGATCACACAAGACCACCCAATGAGACCCCCGCACAACGTTCTCTAAGGAAGGATCAAATCCTGACCACTTAACTTGAGAGAGAAGATTCAAGCTTTGAGATGCTATTCTATGCTGTAGAGCCTGCTTAGAGGAGAAAGTGCCAGAAGGGAGACAGCATCTCAGACCTGAAGCGGACAGTAGGGATGTGGAAAAATGCATCCGTACACGGGGACCAAGGAATATACTTAACGTGTTGTGTCAGTATTTACAACTGAAATCTGATAATTCACTTTTCTGTTGTCATTAAAGTGCATATACTATAAACTAAAGGGAAGTGAATGAATAAACATTTTGAGTTTCCCTAGTGTTGAAGGAGGTTGATGTACCTTTTCTTGCCAGGAGAGTGAAAAAAAAAAACAGTTTGGATCTCAAGGGAAGAAGCCTCATTCTCTCAGTGCCCTGTGATCTGTGTTCATTGGTTAGGTCTCTGCCACACAGGCTAAGGGCTTCCTGACAGCCACAGACCACATCTTAATGAAAACAGAAAAGAATGTCTGCTTTGCGACATATCCCATTCCAGCCTGAATTTGTCGCTGGCCCTCAAGAATCTCAATATATGAAAAATGGGGCTTATTTGGTGAAAGCCCAGGTGGGCAGGTCCTTTTAATAAAGAAACATCTGGTATCATCGGTCTCGGTGGCATTTAAAAGCAAATCTAACATGAAGTCAGCCAACATACAGCCTCTCTTAATCCCCCCTTCCCTAACACTAAGAGCCTGAGAGGGGGGGAGGGAGAACTCAGAAATCACACGAAAGCTGTCTCTAGCCTGAATCTTATCCAGTCTGACAAAGCTTCCTGCCTAAAAAGTGATAAACTGCCTGTGGTACACAATTATGTCTCTAGTCACTGAATCATATCCCTTTTCTTAGAAAGATGAGAGATTTCTTCACATTCACCTCTGTACCACCTGTCCCCCCAGCCTCAGACACTGGGCATTTCTGGATGAATAGCTGCAGTTATGGGGAAAGGCTGTAATTGTCAAAAGAGGAAAACTCCAAAAGATGAGACCCAAGAGAGACATTGGGGCATAGATGATGTTGAATGGGAAAAGTGCTCTGTGGTTGCCCTAATGTATAATCACTGCCATTTAAGAGGGAAACTATACTTTAAAATATATTTTAATGTGACGTACTAATATGTAGTGGCTTATTTTTTTAATAGAATTTACAGAACGTGGAGTTTAATCTCTTAAACTCTTTAGGCGGTCTTCTTTTCCATTGTATTTGTCAACCTGTATGAACTGAGTTGTTAAATATACTTAAAATAATAATATGTACTTAAGTACTCAAATTGTCTGTATTGGAACCACTTTAGGAGACTTTGTGTGTATTTTATAATTATGTAAATCAAGTAAATATTAGATCAAAATAATTATATGCAAATTGGACCATGGAAAAATTGATTTAACTTTATTCTTTGAGGGGCTCGAGGTGAAAACATTGCTTACATAGTGAGACTATTCCTTGATGTCTGGATTGGAATAATTGGATTTTTTTTTCTAAACCTGAAATGACTCCTTGGGATGGTCTGGTTTAACTCTCTCATTTTCTGTGTTGGGAGACTAAGGCCTGGAGAAGTAGAGTTGTTCATGCTCATAACTTATTCAGTAGCAGAATCAGGATAAAAATACAGATCTTCTAATTATTGTTACCACTGACAGCTATGATACACTAATTAGGTACTGGGTAAATGTCTCATGTCATTTTTGCAACATCCCAGTCCAGGACTATTGAATCTTCCAAGAACAGGTTTTTCTTTATGGCATTATTTTTTTGTCATATACATTTTAAATGAATTTGAATTGCCTTTGGCATACATTCTAGAATGGAGAAAACACTTTAGCTAAAACATGAAGACCCCCAAGAATCTGACCAAATCCTGTAGATAACACATATATCCTATCACAGTCATACTTTTCCAGTGAAATAATTTTCATTAATGGATCTTGGAACTTTGCTTATTTTACCAACTTGAAATCATCTTGTTCCTCTCCAGAATAACCCACAGTATATAAAAAGAAATAACTTCAGTAATTCTGTGTCCACACTAAAAGACTTAACATTTCAGCCTCACTTTCTTAAAACTGTACTTGCTATTTATCTTCAGCTCAGTATCAATAATACTTAACCTCTAAGTTTCCTTTGCTAAGCTTCCACTTTTTTCCCTTCCCAAATGATTTTTTTCCTCACTGGAAATATACATGTTATTTTTAATTATATACAGTCCTTTGTTCTTTATATGTATAAGTGAATTAGAATATATCTAAATAGAGAACATTTCTTAAATTTGCTTTCAGTGAGGAATAATGTATCTTCATCAAGTGCTCCAAATCCTATTTTAATTATAAGCCACTAGTGGTAGGGCGAGTAGCATTTATTTGCTGTTAGGTACTCAACAAAATTTACATATGGTATGAATCAATCAATTTTGTCTTCATTATTGGAAGATCTGTGACTATCAAAAGACTAGCCTGAAATTTCTTTCATTTTGCCAAGAAAAAAGGAAGGAAACAAATTCAAGGAAGTTTTAAATGAGAAATTGATTTTCTGTCATCTTTAAATTTTTAAGCATAACCACTGATGTACAACTGAAATAGTTATACATGTCTTTTTCTGTTTAATGAAAACAGATTCCCTCAGGACCTCCATTGGAAAAATCTTTCATTTAATACTTGTTGGTTAAAAAAATCTTTCATTTAATACTTGGTGGTTACTTGAGGGTGAAAATATTTGATGCTCTTCTCCCCAGTTAAACCAGAACTCTTTTAAAAATGATTCCCAAAAAATACATATATTATTGAATGCCAGGAAATGTGGAGGAAAGGCTGAACTTGGATTCTCAAGACCTTTATCCTACTGGGTTGGTCAAAAAAGTTCATTTGGGTTTCTCCATAAGGTGGTGTGGAAAAGCCCAAAGGAACTTTTTGGCCAACCGAATATTTGGGGTTCTACTTCTGACAAAGTAGTATAATCAAGTCCCTTCATTTCTCTTGATGGTCCATTTCTTTTTAAGATGAAGTGGTTGAACTCTAGAATCTTGCATATATACTTGAGGGTCATTATATTAATGTCATGTTAAAAAAAGAAAAACTTAAGATTTTAAAAAATTATCAGGATTTTATTTTTCCTGGATTTATTTAATTTCTCATGTTTTAAGATGAGGAAAGTTTTATTCAGGACTTACAGCAGAACATAAGCTTTTTATGTGGCTGGAAATCCTTCCTTCATCTAGCAGGAGACACATCTTCCTTCAGGCAACAGTGGACATGTCATCCCACCTTCTCCTTCACACACACAAGAAAACTTAAAATCTTTCATAGTGTATCCAAGCCCCTCTCAACCTGGCTTCAACCCATTTTTCTAATGTTTGCATTTCACTGCACACCCACACTCTACCTCCTCGCAAACGCATCACCCCAGAAGATGTTCTTCATTTGGCGGCTTCCTAGGCAGTGTTCATTTTGTGCTCTTTGCCTAACATTCTTCCCCATCACTACCACCCATTCGTCTTCACTTTCACTGGTGAAGTCCTACTTTAACATCTAGAAAGATCTCTGAAGACTTGAAGACCTTCAACACCTCTGTTCCCATGGCTTCCCCTCCTGCGGATGTCTGTCTGTCTGCATGGACATGAGTCTGCTTCCCCTAGATGAATGAACTCTTGCAAGCAAGGACCATCTCTGTTTCTCTTTAAAACTTCAAGTAGAAGTCAATTAGAAGAAATCTGTTGAATTCAGAGATTGAGTGGGGGTGGGTAGAGAGAAAAAAAACATGCACACGTGTAAGTCATATGCTGTGTTCTTCCTACCTTAAGAATAATTGTATCAGGTCAGTAACACTCGATTTCATGTGATTCCTTACCATATGCAGTGCTTAACTGCATTTTCAAAAGATCGTGTGTCTTTAAACAGGTAATTTTAAAGAAGTAGTCATCAGTTTAATAGCTATCCTACAAAAATCTAGAACTTAATAGTTTTAAATAATACAAAATATTTGGTTGGATGATGAGCAATTAATAAATATGTGATATGTTTATATTATTCTACCTTTTAGAGTGTATATGAAAATCCTGTCACTATTTGTATGTACGTTTTACCCATTCAAGTGTTTTATTATTTCTGAATTCTGAGGAGTATGTGATTATTTTTCTCTCCCCATACTTTACCCCTAGCGGGCTGCTGTGATTGTCAACAGCAGCAGGATCCACTTTGAACGTTTGATAAAAGCAGATGAAGAGGCTTAAAGATGTCTGTTTGCTGAAAATATCTGGTAACAAACAGGAATATATGTGAGTAAATATAGCGCATCATTCTGATTTTTAAAATAAATGGTTTAAAATGCCTAATGGGTTGTCAAGGGCTTTGTTTTGTCCTTGTGTGATTTCGTCCTTGTGCGTCTTTGAATTTAAAATGATAACAAATTTAGAGACAATTTTTAAAGCTTAATCTTTACTTTTCAGAATTGAAACAGAAAGTAGCTTAATTTAGAAAGTCAGACTTGAAATGTTTATATTAGCAAAAAGAACACTTATACCTTGTTGCTTAAAACTCAACATTCAGAAAACTAAGATCATGGCATCTGGTCCCATCACTTCTTGGCAAGTAGATGGGGAAACAATGGAAACAGTGACAGACTTTATTTTCTTGGGCTCCAAAATCACTGCAGATGGTGACTGCAGCCATGAAATTAAAAGACGCTTGCTCCTTGGAAGAAAAGCTATGACAAACCTAGACAGCATATTAAAAAGCAGAGACATTACTTTGCCAATAA